TAAATGGGATAGACAAAGTCTTATTTCTTAACTTAACATCATGCTTTATAAGACATCAACTTTGTGTGAAATATTATGTATTTATACAATAATGTAAAACCTAAAGATGTTGAAAAATAACAACCAAGTTGATCGAACAAAATATTTAATTACCAATACAAACTACAAGGATATTGTTTTGTTCAAAGTATTTCATTCATGCTTATTAACACTGACAAAATGGTCAAAAGAGAAATAAACTCATTTCAAGTAACAAGCACAGATTGCCCACATATGCAGCATCAAGAATTTGAACATAAAAGTCATGTTTAGTGACATAATGCTCTTTTTTTGTCATGCTGATTTGAATAAGTATAATACATGTATTTCAAAATATTGTCTTAGAATATTATGATGGTGAATGACCAATTACTGATGATGGAAAATGTTTATGATATTAAAATAAAAGACTGTCTCACTCTTTTTGAGAATTAAGCGTTACCAATAAATTCTGAATGAAATTTATAGAAATTTCCATTGGTTACCTGTATTATTGATTACTTATTCAAAGCAAAATATAAAATTGAACACAGTTATGGCAAATTATCAAGTTATTTTGACTTCTAGCTGTTCACTGACCACTAACACTTGGATGGGCATAATGTCCTAACAAAGCAGGCTGGGTAAAGAATGGAGATCAACAATAGTTGTGACCCCCCTCCAACCCCCACCCCCAACTGAAAACCAAAAAATACAACAATACAACTGATTAACATTTTAACACTGAAGTCAAAAGGTATGGTCAGCCTAATAAAGGGGTCAGTTTAATAAGGAGTTAACAACAAAATTTCTACTTCCAAAACATTTAAGTGTTTGGGTTTATAACAATGATATAAACAAAAGTATAAACAACTATAATTCATGTATAAATGTGAGACAAAAAACATAGCAAAACATTATTATATACAGAACATAACAACAAAGTTTATTATTCCTATGCTAGGAATAAAATCACTTTATAAGATATAATTTGTCTAGCATTTCAAAATTTATTCAAGTTGAACAAAAAGAAGAAATTATAATAAAATGCACATATGAAAACAGCAGTGGTAAACATGTTTCCCCCCTCCCCCACACATACACAATCAAAATACTTCTTACAGTATAAACACATAGAAAACAGCCAACTGCCTCAAGTTAAATGCTCAGTAATGTATGGTCACCAAGCCATAATTTAACCTGTTTGTATCAATCTAAATTTACAATGGACATTTAAACTTTCTTATTTTTAAAGAGACAATTAGTCTTAGTTGACTTTATAATATGTCTCTTAGACATTTGCTGAATTGACAACTAGGCATCTGTTATTTAGGTCATGTAAATGTGGAGTGAGTGGAGTCCTAGTTTCTGTAAGTGTAAGTATACAAATACAAGTCATCATATAACATAGAGATAACCTCATTATTTGAAAACAATTTCAACAATTTCGTTTAAATGATAACACCTACCTTGAAAAACAAACTTGTTAAACCTTGGTGAAGATATATAAACTCAGGGAAAAGTTACATAATCTTAAACATAATATCAGCAAGTTATACATATGTTTATCACTGATGTCCAATATCATTTGTTTTTCTTGGGCAGATTTTAAATCATATTGAATGTTTAGTTTACAAGGTAAATTCTAAGGTTTTATTGGTGTTAGATGAAAGTAACCCCTCTGTGCATAAATTATTTATGATTTAAAACACCTAACCTTGTATCAAGTATCAAGCATATTGAGATAGTGTCTACATTACCTTGATTCCTATTTCAAAATCTAAATTTTAGATTATGATTCAAAAATTTCATTTAGCTGCAAAATTTAAGAAACATCTTAAAATAAAATAGTTCAGGCCTGTTCAACTGTAATTCTTAGCTTCCATAACTCTGAGTACCCTTTTTACAGAGTCATGCTTCTTTTCTTACAGTCAAGCACTGAGAATTTAACATTAAATTTAACATTTAAATTCATTAAGGGGAGATAACTATGAGAACAAATTTAACAATTATCTTGACTATATAAACAAACTTCAAAACATATAGTAAAGTTCAAGACAATGATTAAGTAATGACAACAAAACAAAAATAAACATTTTATGCATGTCATGTAAAAAATAAACAGCCCTATTTTAGTAAGTAAACAGAGAAGTGTCAGCTGGTTCACTATCACATCTTCTCAGCCATTTTCATCAAGCTTCAGGTAAGTTCTTCCAACACAATAGTTAGAATTCATGGAACTGATATGGTATTTCAATTTAACCTATGCCAAGAGCATGTAAACAATTAGTACTTTAATATGCTAGGAGTTGTTGAATAAATATTCTGAACCAAAAAAGAAACTTTCGCAAAGTATGTGCCAGTTGTTCAAGGGTACCACTAAAATGTACACACTTATATACATGTAGTCGCTTGTAAAACTCGTTTTGTTTGCAAAATCGGTCAGCTTATCCCCGTAAAAAAGCCTGATATGTTTATTCAATGTAAAAATCGAGTTTCAAAAGGACTGAAAAACTGTACTAACATATCTACATTCAAACTTGGAGAAAGTTTCTTTTTTGTTTCAGTATATATTCATATACATGTATATGGAGTAAAAGTCCACCAAAATTAAGTAAATTTATAGATATAAAAGTAAACAATTCATTATTTATAATTATATACTAATTATTATGGTTGCAGAAACCAAGAGTACAAAATGTCTACCTTAATTTGAATTTGGTTATATTTGTCGGCAACTTTTAAATTGATTATGAGAGTCAGGCATATGTTCGATTATAATTTTACCAAAACAGACTTTATTTTCCTTTGGATGCCAAATATATACATTATCAAAGATTACACTCTCTGTTTGTATTTACATCAATCTAAAACCACATGGTAGAACTACTTTCAATCCATATTAAGTCTGAGGTCATGAAAAACATCCAAGATGTTCCAAATGCTAGTTTCAAGAAGAAAAAAATATTCAAAAGGGAAATAACTCTTGAAAACTCAATGTAACCTGTTTATGTATATGTATCAGCACGGCAATTCTGCCTAACATGTGGTTCAAATTCTGTAAGTATGCATTCAACATTGGCCATACAATAAATGGAAATAAATGTAAAAGGTACAAAATCCAAAAATCTTGCAAAATTAAATTGAGTGGGCAGTTATGGTATTTAGTGGATTTGCCAATATACAAGTTTGTAAATGCTACAAAACATGTAAAGATTGCAACTGTGTTCAAACATGTTATGAACACATAGTGAAAAATGTGTTCACTTCAAAACAAATGAGCATAATAAGAAATGTGTTAGCTACTAAATACACCAATACTCACAAAAAACAAAACGCAAAAATGAAAAAAACACATTCAATTTTTTTATACAAAGGTATGAACACAATCAGTAAAACCTGAACATAATATAAATGTGTTAAATTCTCTATACTATGGTATTAACACAATAAACACATGAACACCATGAAAAAATATGTTTTAATATTCTTAATACAAAAGTATGAACACAAGCACTAAACCTGTAACACAATGTAAATGTGTTCAAGTCAAAATAAATCTATATTCTTGTAAAAACAAAATAATAAATGCAAAGAAAAATATGTTTACTTCTAAATACCACAAATAAGAACTTGGTGAATAACAAAAAAAAGATCACAATTAACATCAATTCAACAACTAACAGCAGTAAGAGGCCATACAAATTAAACTAATTTTGGACATTTGGCATGCCATGAGTGTAATTTCATATAAGTTTCTTTCTCGTTAGCTATAATCAAACAAATGGTGATAGTTAAATGCTATCTTGCTGATAATAGACTTTGATTATGATAAACTACCGTAAGTCAAGAATCCTTGAACCACTCAATTACAATCACAACAAGTTATGTCTAGACAAATCAAAATTCATTTTGGTTTAAAAAAAAACAAGAAACATGGCAATGCCATGAAACCAGGTTTTCAATTATCACAATTGTAGATAAATATGTTGTATTTGAAATACAAATACAAGCAACAAACAATGTAACTATGTGCAATGTAAAACATGAATAATGTAGGAGGAATTGCGCACAGAAGAAGTGTTCACTATATATATTCTGTATAAGGAAAAAAAACAAAGGGCCATAATTAGGTAAAAAATTATCCAATCACAAAACCCCGACAATATGTGCTAGGGCACTTGATGACAAAGCTTCTGTGAAAGTTTGAACAAAATCCGTTGAGAAATGTAGGAAGAGTTCAGCACAGAAGAATTTGTTCAATTCTGTATAAGGAAAAAAAACAAAGGGCCATAATAAGGTCAAATATTATCCAATCACAAAACCCTGACAATATGCCCCAGGGCACTTGATGACAAAGCTTCTGTGAAAGTTTGGTCAAAATCCGTTGAGAAATGTAGGAGAAGTTGCGCACTGTAGAAATTGTTCTCTATATATTCTATATAAGGAAAAACAACAAAGGGCCATAATTAGGTCAAATATATACAAATTGCAAAACCCTGACAATATGTGTCAGGGCACTTAATGACAAAGCTTCTGTGGAAGTTTGGTCAAAATCCGTTGAGAAATGTAGGAGGAGTTGCGCACAGAAGAAATTGTTCACTATATATTCTATATAATGAAAAAAAACAAAGGGCCATAATTAGGTCAAATATTATCTAATCGCAAAACCCTGACAATATGCGCCAGGGCACTTGATGACAAAGCTTCTGTGAAAGTTTGGTCAAAATCTGTTGAGAAATGTAGGAGGAGTTGCGCACAGAAAAATTGTTTACGCCCGCCCGCCCGTCCGCCCATCCGAACGCCCGCCCACCCGCCCGCCGACATACCTCAATCTAATAACCAGTTTTTTCCTTCGGAAAACCTGGTTAAAAACTTTAGACCTCTTTAACGAAAGAATCAAGAATCATTAACAAAATAATAAAAAAAATTGTTCTTATTTTCACAAATTACATAGCAAAGTAATTCCCCCCTTCCCCCCCCCCCCCCCCCATCAAATTTACTTTAAAACAATTTTTTTCCATATAGTATTTCAACATTATGTTTCTTGCAGTACAAGTTGCAGTATTTCATATGACTATTCAACTAATCAATACTGGATAGGAACTATATTTCATACCTGTGCCGCTTTTGCAACTCAGTAAAAATAATATCACATGGCCATGCATATATTATTTTGATGCGACATCATTTGCGTTAAACACATCAAAGTGTAAAAACACAATAAATGTTAGCATTACCCTATAGGTGCATCAGTAACAAAATGATTCTTTTACACTTTTTACAGTCTTTATTTAGGGTATGGTATAAATAGAATATCATATTTGTGTAGGTTCATTACTGAATTTATTGGAACTTGTTGAATAGAATAATATTTCGATCACCAGGCATAATATAATTTCATTCAACTTGTTCCTTAAATTCATTAATGAACTTACACTCATTCAATATCCTCTATATGTTATCCATGTAACAAAATTGTACAAACTGTACATCTATTAATTATATCAATAGCCTGTACACCTTCCATATCTGTGACGATCATGTAAATAGGAAACATGTACACATTTCCCAACAGTGAAAGTAGCAAACAGTCATGTACAGGACGTCAAACCAATGGTACACTTAACACAGCTCTTTTAATTTCTAACAATTTATATATTTCAATCTTAGGATTTTTGCAACTAAGCTACAAATATGTTTCATATCTTTATACTGATATTTACACTGTACATGTTTCAGCATTGTGAAAAAAATTCACTTGTTTACAAAACATCACTATATGCCAACACCATCTATGTTTCAAACTAAAACGCTAACATATCAACCAAACAGCTATGTGTCAAATGTATGGTATTATTACTACACTGTACATATTTCAGGTGTGTGATTTTTGTAGCTAAGTTGTAGCTATGTTGTACAAATTTCAAACCTGCAATGTTTGATACAATAATTATACACATCTCAGGCCTATAATGTTTGTATTAACACTGTACACATTACAGACCAGTGATACTGGTAAAAATAAACTATATTTTAAGCCTGTGAATTCTGCCACCAATATCTGTACACACCTAAAACCAACTTACTGAGGTATCCAACTCTATACATAGTTCAAAACTGTGGCAATAAAGCAAGAGAAGCATATAAAGATGGTATGATAGCGATCTCTATACAATAAATTCTGTGACTTTACAATCTAAGCTGTAAAAATGTCTGCCCTTGCCAAACAACTGAATACTGTCTTCTCCCCTCAACTTTTCAGCAACATTTTTGTTTCTGAACCATGTGACATGTGTCAGGGTACAGATGTCATGTGATATAGATCATGTGACATGTCATGTGATGTTGGCTAAAGATCTATAGATTTTCTCGGCCTCACGAAGTCCACTTATATAAGCACCTGCTAAAGTCTGATGGTACTGCTTGTGGGTAGCCTGTTAAATATAAACAAACCAATAAAAACATATATTTCCCTTTAATACAGAGAAAGACAAACAATTTTTATATTTTTCTATCATTTCTAAACAGATTCTTGTATAATCTTTACAGTTACAACTTTTTGTTAACAGTTAAATTATGATAAGTCTGACTTAGTGGCATACAACCACCAGTCCATTCTGTACAAGAAAAGATGTTGGAAACAAGTCATCCTCCAGAGAGACATTTCAATTTAGCATTTCTTTTTTCAGCATGCATTTGCTAAAAAGCTCCAAATAAATCATTACAACCTAGACTAGAGGATTAGCCCTTTAAATTTTATATCTTTGTGACAGTATGGCCATGTGGTTAACACCTCGGACAAGTAATCTAATGATCGCTAGTCGCATGGGTTCAAACCCTGTCAAGAGGCCAGCTGTTGTTTCTTTGAGCAAGAAACTTTACACTCATTGCTCAGTACTGGTTAGTTCCAGGAACATATTTGAAAGTGTGTCTATAACTTGAGCTTTAAGCTTCTACACAATCAAACTAAAATCAATTCTGTATAAACAAAAAGTTTATATAAGAAACTCAATTATCTAAAATATCTAAGTAAACAAAGTGATGACTTCAAGGATCATGCACGGTTGTGCTCACTTAAAACCTTACTCTGTTTTTAGTTAATATATTCAGCCTTTACCACCAGTATAGAGCTAGGCCAGACTAAACATCTGTGTAGTCTCATCCGGCTCTGTACTGTTGGTTGCTGGACTTAAAATTTTCATCTTAAAGGGTATAAAGCTGTATCTAATGAAATATTTTCATAATATCCCGAAAGAATGTTTCTGTTAATTAAAACACATGAATACTGTATTCTGCAACAGAATAGAAAGTTCCAGAACAAAGTTTCATGTTGCTTTTAAAGAACTGAACATTTTTAACCATTAAGCAATAATTTTTCATGCAACATTAGCTTAAAAGGCAATATACAAACAAATTTCTTTCATACATGCTTTCGGATTATTCCTCATCAGAATTCAAACAAAATATTTTGTTCATTAATGGCAGCAGAGACACAGTTTTTTACACTTTTATATTCTAAAACTTGATAATGGACAGTTTTCAAAATGGAAGCTGTACAAGTTCATTTTTTAAAAATTCAGCTGGTTAAATAAAGGTAAATACAAGATTACAAGAAGAAATATTTGTCATAAAATAACGATGAATCAAGTAAAGCAAACCTCGCCAGCGAAGTAGATTTTCTCGTTCACGTCTTTCTCGAGGTTATCAAATGCCTCTGGTTCACAATTGGTAGGTATGTAAGAGTATGACATACCTATATGTTCACTCTTATACCATCTCGATACCTGGTAATTACTAGGTTCTGGTACAGTCTATAATACAAACAAATAATTAACATTGTAACTAGCAGGGATCAAAAGAAATTTCAGAGCCACTCCTCCTGCTACAAACAGTAGCTTCAAATTTCTACTTGTCCTGCATGCTATGCCACTTGTCTTGCATTTTGTGCATAATTTTCAAGGTAAACTTCACCAATGCATTAGATCACTAAAATTCTCATAATCAGTTTGTTTACATTTAACAATGGAAAACCAGACACAAAGCTTGTGTTTTATAAAGGTTATGTATAAATCATGCACTTTAAAGAGCGTTGTCGGGCATTGTAGCAGTCTGTTGCAACGGCAAATTTCCTCTCGTCCTACAATGTTGTATTTGTGGGATTTTCAATCCCAACTAGTGACAGTAATGCATCAGTCACCTGTCACCACCAATCCTCTCATTCTAGACAAAATTTTAAGTCCTCCATGACATTAAGTATGAAACTTACTAAAACATTACTCTTATAAATGCTTAATATCAAATGAAGTCTACTATAAAATAGAATATAACTCAAGGTGCATATTACAACTGACCTGTTTACAAAATGCTGCTTTTATTGTTTGCATACACATTTCTACAGCTTGTTCATCTGTCTTGTCTTTAAGAATGTTTACAGCATCACCAGATATATATGTTGCCAGCATTGCTCGGTCATCCTGTATAGAAAAACCAAAACTTTATACTAAGGATACCATTTTTCCCCTCAAATACTTTCTTACATATGGTTAATTTACAAAAATCTCCTCAGTAACATTAATAATTCATACCCTCTTATAAACCTCAGGTTTAACTTTTTACCTAGTTCTACCCTCATTTTTTGTCATATCTTGATGGTCAGTCCATGTAACTTGCTCTCCCAAATGACTTTTAAACTAGTCATTACCAAATTCTCTGCAAGTGACCAACTACAAATCCCACATCATTTCTAAATCAGCGGTGTGAGACAAATGACCATTACACTCTGTTGTCAAAGATCAATAATCACAGAGAAATTTTAACTCAACTGAGGATTGAAGAAGCGACCTCTGCATTAGAAATCTAATGATATGGAGTGAGGCAAAAGGTTTTATTGGTTTGGTTTCACAGTGCACCAACAAGTATCTTAATGCATTTACTTAGATTATTTAAATTTATCAATGGATACTTTTAAAAAATATGTAACTGTAACAAAAATTAATAACAGATTACTCAGGAGTCTGTTCTCACTAAAGAATTATCATCAACTTATATATTAACCTGTGAAATATCATAGAATACATCAAACAATCCCGGTACAGTTGAGGTAGATAATATCTGTCCAAACATTCCACATTCCTTCACTGTCTTACTCCAAAATTTGTCAGGGAATTCCAACATCACCTATAATATAAGAAGTCAGGTAATTATAGCAACAAATCACGATCTTGACTAAATCTTTAATACACCAATAACTCTTGTCACAATCTTTCCTTCTTGCTCTTTGATGGATGTTGATTAAAGTTTAGTTTCCTAAAAACTGGCAAACATGTTTATGTTTAGTCTTAAGGCCACAAGGTTAAACAATAAGAAGATGCAAGGTTCAAACTTTTGGATTTGTTAGAACTCAGGTTTTAAAATGCTAGGCTGATAATTAAGCTCAATATTTGTGTCTGCAATTTCTGACTGGTCAAATTTAGCCTGTATTGTAAATTCAGCCAGATACACAATGTCCACTGACATAAAACATGGCTTACATAGCTGATTTGTAAGTCAGAGTACCAAGTTTTCTAACTTTTTATACAAGTTCCTTAAACTTTTGACAAACCAAAGTACTTGTGTATCTTCCAAAAGTGTTCTGAAGTCATGTAAGAACTGAGAGCATGAAATAATGTCATTAATCTGTCAGATTAAAATTATCAATGTAACAATTCTTACTTTCTCTACATGTCCACAGCCCAAGTTAACGTTCTTGTCCTCAGGCAAAGCTGGTGTAAACTCAATCTTCTTTTCTTTTAACACATGTAAGGGTACTGTCACTATGACCTAAATAAGAGAACTCAATATAATATAGGGTTAACGCACGTTTTTCCGTGTTATAACGTCTGCAGAGTCCCGAGGAACGGTTGGTGCCCGAGCCCGGTAGGGCGAGGGCTCCAACAGTTCCGAGGGACTCTGCAGACTTTATAACACGAAATAAACGTGCGTTGACGCTATTATAGCATAAAATTTTCAAACAGATTCGTGATGTATAGTTTATACAAAACACAATTACATTAAATTCTTGTGCTTGGACGGTATTTATCCAATTCTATGTTTTACGTATGCGTTTCATTTTTCCAGGGCCAACAACTTGGAAAATTCTCGGAACCGAACGAAATTTTGAATTTTAATTGATTTAACAAAGATTGGCCTTTGGAGATTTATTATCTCAAGGAAAAAAAGCGTTACATTACTCTACCCTCTACCCAAGACAAAACATGACCCTCAAAAATTCTTAGAATGATTTCAGATTGACGGTAGAAAAAGGATCAGTGACATCAGAATCGGTTTTTTTTTCAAGCAAACAAGTTTATAAAAAAAATCAGGCGCTAAGCATTATTCTCTCAAAGAAATATAAAGAGCATTTATCAACATTAACATAAATAAAAAACATTTTCTCATATTAATTTTGTGTTATCTAGTTTTGTAAGTTAATCGGAGTGTTAAACTTAATGACAGGTAGATTCTACTGTATTTGTTTACATTGACAACTGTCCGTTTCTTAGAAAGGGCGATAACCAAGATTAGCACCGATGTCTATACGCCGTTTTTCCGGAATAGTTACTTGAATATGCGACTGAGGCCCTCGAATCAATAAATTTCAATATATAAACAAGAGCGCATGACTCTTTGGCAAACAGTCCAAATCGTCATTTTTTGTTTGTTTGTTTACTTGGCCCTGTATGTATTGCGCATAGGTGAAACCGGGCTATAACAAGAGCGCGTGACTATGTTAACACATGGTTTTGGTCCCGTTATAACATGGGCAAAAGAGGGAAAAATAGCCGATTTTATGCTATAATTGCTTTTATATCATATTGATTTTACCATACAAACTGACAAAATGTCAACAATGTTTAGTTTGTTTGTATGTTTCATTTTAGCCTTTTCCCAACAGTATTTCAGTCATATAGGCGGGTAGTTTCCTAAGCAATTTTCCTACACCAGTACTAGACTACCTTCCTCCGTGCTAAACTACCAAAGCATCTCCCGGGGATCGAACCCACGCCAGAGAGGTAACTGGATTAGAAGTCATCGACTCTAACCCATCAACCACGGAGGCACAATGTTAACCCTTTCGCTGCCAGAGGGTTATTTATTTATTGATCATCTATTTTCCAGAAGGTTTTCTAAGAAATTACTATATTATCAATTAATATAATTATTATTATTTGTTATTAGTATTATAATAATTATATATGTTTCCAAATCTGCTAGTATATAATAATTATTGTCCATGGTATAATTATCTACATTATTATTATTATTATTATAATTATTATTATCATAGAAACGGCAAAAGCCGTCCATTTGGCAAACGCCGAAAATAATAGGGACGGCATATGCCGTCCCTATGGCAGTGAAAGGGATAAGTAAATCAAACACATTTATATGCCATCATATATCAACCAAATGTGACTTCATGTTACTAAGTTATGTATGTAGAAAAACAACAAGAGCTGTCAGTAGGACAGCGCGCATGACTATTTTCAATGCCTGATAGTAAAACAAGAGCCTGGATAATGTAGAATTTTAAAAATTCAAAAAGGGCGGGTATTCTGTCAAAATCCATGTTGAGTTACGGGCCTTGCTCTGTGATCTACAATTATGCTCTCATATATTAGTGAAGATTCCCTTCACTTGTTTTGAAGTATAAAGACTTACTTTTGATGCCAGGAAACTTTCCCCAGATGAACATGTGACCTTAATCGCTTCATCTGTGTAATCAATTGATGTTACCTAAAATATATGTGAAGAAACAGTGATTTAAATATTCTTATCATTCATTTCACTAAATCATAGAAGAGGCAGATAGTTTGAGGTCAAAGTTCACATGCTTTTTTTACCCTTCTTATTATCTTAAACACATTACCGAGTTGATTAACAATGGTAATATATCTGTGGAAATGCTTGTCGCTTGCATTTACCTAAAGCACTTTCTATACCTTAATTATATGAAATTAATATCTTGAATGGATTTATCTATGTTCCATTTTTGGAACTGTTTATTATCAGTTTTTTGAGATATCAAGATAAAAATTAAAACATTACCGGGCCAACACTACAGAGCCTGGTCTGACTACTCAGAAGTACAGGCTGGCCTGGTTCCCTAAACTGGTGGCAAAGGCTAATTTAGTAATTTCTTTCTTTTGTATGTAACTATCTATTTCAGAAAGTTTAAAAAACCTTCAACGTTTCAAAGGGATAAACCTCTCTTTATCAAGGAGTTTGCTGTTTTCAGGGTATGTAACAAAGTGTAAGAAAAAAAGAAATATGAAAATAAAATATGTGATTTACAAAATAAACAACAAACTCCTTCATAAAGAGGGGTTTAACCCCTCGAACTGTTGGAGGTTGATAACCTTTGTGAAATAGTTATTTATTAATTGTTCCCAGAGGGATTTTCTAATTACTTTTGGTTTTAACATCTTAAGAGAACAAATTTACAACAAATATTAAATAGAAGAATTAAAGTACCGGAGAATTCTTGACTATTTGTATATCTTTTGCCAGCTTATCAAGGACTTTAGAGAAGTCATCTTGTACCAGTACTGGAGGTCCATGGAATTGTGGGTACTCGTCATTCTGATCCCAGAACAAGGAAGATATGTTGCCAAGGTTACTACCACATGCATATTCTAAATTACTGCGATGAAACCTTAGTAAACTTTCCTCTAACTGAAATAAAAATAAATTAAATATTAGCTTTGAAAAAAAAAAAACATTGAAAAAGAAGTTTAAACAGTGTTTGGAGAATTTTGAACAGTTTAACCATATTCTGTATGGTTGACTGTGTGTTTACAATTAATAAATATCAAAACAACTAATGGATATTTAATTAACTTTTGGTTTAACAGTTAAAATGTTAAAAGAAACAAAATGTCTGCTGTTCAGATAGGTAAAAAACTTGTAATACAAACTCCCAATTTCTAATTCAAAGGTGTCCTGAAATAAGCCTAAAGTGGCACTTAACTCTAACACTCCCTAATGTGTGTATTAGATTTGTTGCACTTAAGTGTATATGATATATATGGCACTTTAAACAATAATATTCAAAAGACAATAAGTATACTCAAATTGAAAATCCATTTTTTGTGGTGGTGGTGGTGGGGTGGGGATTGTGTATGTGTAAGGAGAATAAAAATCCTGTGTTTCATCATTTCTTTGTTTTTAAATTATTTTTGTTTACCTTCGTGAATTTGATTCCAGACTCATCTTTGAATTGATTGTGAAGCTCAGTAAACTGATCTAAAATAATGAACAAATTTGTTAATATAATTAGCATTTACAAAATGTTTGAAAGGTATGACTTAATGTTTAAGCTATGAATTATGATCTTTATCCTAGTATTTAAAAGAGAGCTACTGTAAAACATACAAGTTACAATGAAAAAATGGTTGATACGTAAAACGAAGACTGCAGTTAAGAAACTTTTCAAGCTCATGGCCTATGTATTGGTTTGGTACAGATAAAATTTAAGGTATATATGTCTAATGTGCCAGAACATGTTATCCATAATTATCTATTTTAAAAGTTTTTCTATAATATAAAGCCATCCAAATGATAATCCTTAATCATTTCAAGTATCTGAAACAATTCTGTTAAAATGGGGATGGGTTGCAAGTGTATTTTGAGTTCATTTATACTAGCCACAGGTTGCCAATATGGGCAAGTCCTGCAGAAGAGAATTAGTAATTTTAGATTTTTGAGAATTGTGCAAGATAAAGATACAGAAAGATGCCCCAAATCCAGAAGTTTGTTCCCGATTCTTTAGCATGCCAAGTGTTCAAGCACTCATGCAATATACCTCAATTTACAGTCTCATGCGAAACACTGATTAGTAATTTTAGTTGGACAGCCCAGGAATTTAACCTGCAATGTCAAGATAACAAGTCTCGTGCTCTAACATATTTAGCTATGCCGGCTGACTAAAAGGGGGTAGTAAAAAAGACTGACAAGGAAATGACCCTGATATGGAGATGTCACTTGTGTTTTCATTGCACTTCAGTAATAATTTGAGAAGACTGAAGGATGAAAACTTATACAGTTACCTAGGAGACTGATATCTTTGTCTTGTTCTTTCCTCAGCTGTTTGTTGATATCTAACATAGCTTCAAAATGAAACTGCATCCGTTTGTCAATTTTATCATCAACTATTTCACCTCCATCTGATAATAAAACACAACTATCTCCAAGCTCTTTTACTTTTACATCTGCCTGCAAAAAAAATATTCATCTTACTGCACTCCTGAAATACTACAAAATTATTATTACATGTATTAGCTTATCTTGTAGTTTGTTCAGATTATGAAAGTGTAAAATTACAGCTGAAGTAAGACACTTTGTTACTTAAAAAAACAAAACACAATAATTCTAGGTCCTACGTATTTTAGAACTGACTAGAAATGTGTTCATAGGACAGAGATGCCAACACACTCCACTGTTTTGTCAATCTAGTGACTCTTAGGTCAAACATTTTTGGGCTATTTTTTGGGCTATGTGTGAAGCAAGTTGAAAATTACAAATTTTTTACTAAGTCAAAGGCAAAAATACAAATACTGAATAAATCCACAAGCAAACCCTAAGATGCAAAAAGTTCTACACATGCTGACCAACATTCATGTAAACTTTCAGGATGCCATAAACAAAACCCTAGTGCACAACAACACATGCTGAACAACATTTCTGTAAAGTTGTATGAGTAATGACTCTAGGGAAAACTCTTTTAGAGCTATGTGCGACACAAGTTGAAAATTGAAAATATTTACAAATTCAAGGACAATAACTCTACAAATACTGACTTAATCCATAAGCAAACCCCCAGGTGCACAACTACACATACTGACTAACATTTCAGTGAAGTTTCATGACTCTAAGTCAAATAAAATCAGAGCTATGCATGCCACAAATAGAAAATTAAAAATTTTTACTAAGGGCAATAACTCCAACAAAACTGAATTAATCCACAAGCTGAACCCCAGGTGCTTAACTTCACATGCTGATCAACATTCCTGTAAATTTTGTTGACTCTAGCTCATGCCCTTGCGACAACATGAGTTAGCACAAATGCACTCACCAACATATAGACGGACAAGGGAATATCTTACTGCACCCCCTATAGTGGGAGCACAACAAACTTAAAGGTTGATCAATCTAGAATTCAAAGATGCAAATCTGTAATAAAGTTGGGTAAAAATATATACTTATAAAGCTCATTATCTATTACTGGTCTTAGCAAAAAAAAATTTTGTATGACAATGGGCTATACCTGTTTACATAGTATAACAATGGACCATACCTGTTTACAGAGTATAACAATAGGGTTATTATAACAGCCAACCACCATGTGAGACTGTGTGTTAAACTTTGAGCTCCCACCATCCACGGCACGGCCACCTATATGATCTCCAGCCTCTAACACTGTCACCTGTAACAATAAAATATATATAAAACAATAAAAAACATGTTTACAAACCAAACTAGACATATTATGTTCATGATTTCAGTCAGACAGGGAATTTGGATTCTTTCATGTGAGGAAGGTATCCAGCTAGCTTACAGAATGTCGGTGTTTCTACTCGGGTGCCTGTTTGTGCCTGAAATAATGCACGGAAGGGCACTGGAGGTCTTCCTCCACCAGTAAAGCTGGAACATCGCAATATGATCGCAAAGTCTTTTTAACAGATGGTTGGCTAAAAATATCTCAAGCTTAGAAGAATTGGTGATGCTCATATCTACTAATAAAACATAACAAAATTTGAAAATTAATGAGACTGCAAAACATAAATATATATATACATAAATAGCAATAATAAACAGAGGTGGTCAACTAGGATAGTAGTGAATATATTACCTGAACACTAAAGTTGGTAAGTTGTCTAGCAGCACTGAGCCCTGACAGACCAGCTCCAATAATTATCACAGGATGCTACAATTATAAACATAACATAAATCACAGGAATTGTTGTTGAACTACATGTGCCTTGCCCAAGAATCAAATATCCAGTAAGCTAGCGAACCTCATACTGAGTGAGTTAATGATGTATCAAATCACAGGAATTGTTGCAGAATAAAATGTACCTTTAAAACAAATGCAAGTTCCAGCAAGCTAGCGTATCCCATAGTGAGTTAATGATGCTGGCCGAGTTACACAACTTGACAACTTCCAAACACTTCCTACTCAATCAGCACTACTAGTTCAGAAGTCTTACAGTAAAATACTTTACTAAAGGTACACCTTACCTTATAAAATTATAATTGTAACTGTTTAAACTTAAAGTGTTGAATAAGTCTATATAAATTATGTAGAATCCATTGAATACGTCTAATGCCAAGCAATATAAGTCCCAAAGTGAAAAACGGGCCATACCTTTAAATGTTTAAATAAATAAAAATTTGAATGAAACAGAGGTAGATTAAAAGTACAGTTGACTCTCAATAAGTCAAAATCGCTTTACTCAAAATTCCGCGTAAGTCGAAGAATTTCTAAAGTCCCGTCAAATTTCCTTCTTTATCTTTGTATTTTAACTCCGCTTAGGTCAAATTTTGACTTACCGAGACTCCTGTTTAGTCGAAAAGAAAATTTGGTCCCGTCAATTAAAGTCCAACATATTTTCATCTCAATTAGTCGAAAAGTGAAAACAGCCGACTGATCAAAGGTCGGCGACATCAAGGTGAGATGTTGTCACTCAAGATTTACACGTTTCATAGTAATCTTTAATTGCCGGTCATCATGTATTATCAACACGTCGTAATAGTGGCTTCAATCCGTTTCAGGACTTAATTGGTTTTATCAGTTAGATAACTAAATTAAAATTTAATAACATTTCTTTGAAAAGTTGACTCGTGCCAGTCTGACGGGTGTTAGTCAAATAACAGCCTAGGTATTGATGTGTGTTATCAGCATAAATGACATTTGTATAATTTATGTTCCGTCATATTGCATACACTTATATGTACTTCCGGTTCACGATAGTTGCTACTTTCGTTTTCGTCCGATGATCAATTAAATCAAATATAATTGTGTGTTTATGTTTCACTATTAATATACATGTATTAAATTTTGAATGATATACTTTTGTTCATTTATAATTTGTAGTTGTAAGTGAATTACCGTCATTTCAACGGTTAAATATTGCAGCATTGCCGCTAACAACAATAACAAACCTAATTCTTTGCACATTTAATCAGGCACATGTATATACATGTACGAATGTCAACGTAATGGCGGCAGTTCCACGTAACTCGAATTCCGTTTCTCTCGAAGTAAAATGCCCAGTCCCTTGGATTTCGAGTTACCGAGAGTCAACTGTATGTACCTGTAAATTCAACTGAGGCCTGTAAAATAACCTTTATAAATACCTTTTGGAAATTTTCATCTGGTGGTTCAATAAACTGAATTTCCTTGGCAGGTAAAGCAACACCATGGTTGATGTAACCTTTGAGAGTGAGGTAAAACAGTATACGATCAACGTGTATTGTGATCCATACCCTCGACAAGCCTCGCATTATCACATAGTTCATACAACGTTCTCGGGTAACCCAATTCTAAAATATGGAAATAAAATTAAAATTTATCAATTTTCATATAACTACCATGTACATTCAGAAAAAAAAATCATAATGGTACACCAATATCTTGTTTAAAGTTTCAGTACATGTACAGTTGACTCTCAATAAGTCAAAATCGCTTTACTCAAAATTCCGCCTTAGTCGAAAAATTTCTAAAGTCCCGTCAAATTTTCTTCTTTATCTTTGTATTTTAACTCCGCTTAGGTCAAATTTTGACTTGCCGAGACTCCTGTTTAGTCGAAAAGAAAAATTTGGTCCCTCTGAATTAAAGTCCAACATATTTACATCTCAATAAGTCGAAGTGTGAAAACAACCGTCTGATCAAAGGTCGGCAACATCAAGGTGAGATGTTGTCACTCATGATTTACACGTTTCATAGTAATTTTTAATTGCCGGTCATCATGTATTATTAACACGTCGTAAAAGTGGCTTTAATCCGTTTCAGGACTTAATTGGTTTTAAGTTTCAGTTAGATAACTAAATTAAAATTTAATTACATTTCTTAAAGAAAGTTGACATATGCCAGTCTGACGGGTGTTAGTCAAATAACAGCCTAGGTATTGATGTGTGTTATCAACGTAAAGGACATTTGTTAAATTAATTATCTGTCATGTTTGTACTTCCGGTTCAGGATAGTTGCTAATTTCGTTTTCGTCCGATGATGAATTAAATCAAATGTAATTGTGTGTTTCTGTTTCACTATTAATATACATGTATTAAATTTTGAATGATATATTTTTGTTCATTTTAAATAATTTGCAGTTGTAAGTGATTTACCGTCACTTCAATGGTTGAATATTGCAGCATTGCCGCTAACAACAATAACAAACCTACTCCTTTGCACATTCGATCAGACACATGTATAAACATGTAATGGTGGTAGTTCCACGTTACTCGAATTCCGTTTCTCTCGAAGTTAAATGCCCAGTCCCTTGGATTTCGAGTTACCGAGAGTCAACTGTATTTAAATATTATCATTCTTAATTTCTGTATATTAGCTTGTGAATAACCCAAAGAAAATTCCTTTATATTTAGATAATAAATTAAGCTATTTTCTCTACATTTCAAACTAATTTTAGTAAACAGCAAATATGCAACAGGACTACTGGCACGTAAAAAAGGTCCCCCCCCACCCCCCTTTTAAAATGTCCTGTAAAGTAACCTGAAAATTATGGCATTTATGATTATGGTGACACGTGTTTTAGAGAAAACCTTTAGCAGATAAAAGAGATACGAAGTGACAAGTGTTACTACAACAATGTTACAGTGCCAAAACAGCCCCTGACTATTCTATAAAGTCAAATTCAAAACAGAGTGATAAAGTCAAATTCAAATCAGAGTGAAAATTACTTTGATATTTAGGTTCCATAACACCAGTATTGTGTTACGGATAATGAGGTAGAATTTCAGGAAGATCCCTTTAAACTCTGGGAAATACAGCAGCTCATCTTCTGACAGTTGATCGGGAGGTAAAGCCATTGCCATATTGTCTTCAACAAACTGGAATGGTTGTAAATATTGACGTACCTCTGAAAACATAATGAAATATATTTGTTATATATATTGATATAGGTCTATAAACTGCAGTTATTGATAGGAAAATATTAAATATATTGAAATAGATACAAATACAAGAATCTAGATTTCATTTGTTTAAGACATGTAACTGGTTTCTTCAACATAAGGCTGGCTCAAACAAGAACACTTATTACCCTGCTACAGAATAATTAATGCTGAAATGTAACAATACAGACACAAAGTGGCACTTGAATGGAACTTTTAACCTTATGGTAGCTCTGTTAAGTTGCTTTACCCTCAGTTGCTTCACCAGAGGCAAATTGAATCTAGCCATGTGACCAATGCAAACCAAGGTCAGGCATAAATATAGATGGCAATCCTTCAATAACACACAAACAGACTTCAATTAAATAAGAATCATTTACTAATTGGAGGACACATTCATGCAGATCAAATCTAGCACATCAGTATTAAGTACAGTAATTATTTACCCATAATTCCTTCATCATATTTATGCACAGATGTGTCAGAGGGGCTGATACCAACAGAATCTTGAAAGAAATCTCGTGTATACGGAGCATAGACTGCGTTCTTTACAAACATTGGGATGATCAGATGAAACGGCCAGACATAAGCCTCCTTAGCCATCTCTATCCGCTAAAATAAAATACAAATCCATACATTACTTTAACATCTTTTAACATCTATAGTGACATGTTTCTGTATCTCGGTATATGTTCTTCAAGAGTGGATGGATAAACAAAGTCTTCATATTTCAATAAACAATAATAAAGCATTTTTATTGATGTTTCCTGTTTTCATCATGTTTTATTTTTTCATTTACTGCTACAATAACATCTTGCAGATTTGCCAAATAAGGACATCATTTAAACCAACATGGGTGGGGAAAAAATGATAAAACAATTCTTGAAAATAAAGGTTATTATTAGTAAATTTCTTTTGTTTCATACCTCAGAGACAGTAGGGTGTAAAATAGAACAGCGAACATATGAAAATGAACAGCAGAAATAATCTTTGCTGAAAAATAGCATTAGTGATCTCCCTTATTTTGTCTTTTTGTTGTGATGAGAAAAAATTAAACACTCAAGCCTAATTAGAACCTTGAAAGTTAGGACAAGTCTAGAAATATTTTACCCATGCATAGTATACCATGTCAAACTTACATTTCAAGAATGTTCAGACAAACATTTAATATATCTTAAACATCAATTATTAATTCATATAACTAGAAATTTTATAAAAAAAATATCTGAAGACCAGTCTGACAATGCAGACAATTTTATTGGTCAAGTCAAGCATATAACTGGTGCTCTATACTTACATAATCCTCTGGACTGTCACATGCCTCATCTTGAGACTGGTTCTGAAAAACAAATATTTACAATCATGGTTCCAAAGGTTAGGAGAAAACTAATATTTAAGTATATTTCATATGTATAACTTCCAATAATACGTTTTTCCCCCATTTGGGTTAAAATCACACAAAACACTGTTCATTAGGGCAGTGGTACAAAAACACTGTTCATTAGGGCAGTGGTACAGAATGGACACATCTACGTGTATAACTTCAGACACACAACTTCCATAGTTTAGCCTGATAACTTTATCACATTAATTAAAGAAACCAAGATCTCTGTTGAGCTTTAAATCCTACAGTGATTTAAGACAAGTGATTCAAGGTCATTACTATTAAAATATTAAAGGGACATTATGTCTCGGAAATATATTTTTTGTTTTGTTTTGTTCTGTAGAAAGGGCAAGCATGTGCATGTTGTAATTATAGATTAAGAGACATATTATATGCTAGTTACCTGCATAAATAAGAGCTTAATGCGACATAAATTGTCAATAGGGAAGCGAAATGGAAAACTGGTATTACTAGTTACAATATACTTCATCACTATTTCTAAACTGAGTGCAAAAATCCGAAAGAAGCAAAAGATGCTCAGCTATAGGGCCAATGAGTATCTTTTTGGGAACTTAAAAGGAAAAAGCTTTTAAAATATAAAAATATTGTTTTATTTTTTGTGTTGCTAATGGGCTTGTAACTTCTATTAACATTCATTTTATAAACACCAATTCTTTATATACTGTAAGTATTACCTTCAAAACTCTTGTACACACATAGTTCTTCAAATATCTTGGCGTGATTTCAGTTTCACGGAAGACACTTCGCCATTTCTCGCACAGATTACACTGTATCCAGTATGGTAAAAGCTGATCTGCCATGTAATACTTGACACTGTTATCTGTTGCTCCATACTGTGACCAGATCCTCTTCCATGCAGTGTATTTATCATAACCAGCATTATGACTGGAATGTAAACAAAATCTGCTATACTCTCTCATTTATGTTGAGAAAACAATAAGAACCGTTATATATAGAAAACAACAAGTGTTCCAAGTTTAGAGTAAATATATTAGATAGTTTTTGAGTTTTTTGATAAATGTTGAACACAGAAATTCTAAGTTGAAAAAGTGGTCATATCTTTGCAAGAATTAATTTTAGGAATATCTTATGATATTTATTTGATTTGATTTACAAAGAGGTTGACAAACTTGGACACCAATGAGAGGGTCATCTCAATTATGATTCAGGATTACATGTGTACTAGTTTTTCTGAAACTATTATTTTCATGAAGAAATGGGTCAGTAAGCCTATCTTGTTTACAGAATTTTTTATAAAAAATAAATGGGTGGACTAGTGACTTTATCATGCACAATTTTGAAATACCTTCAAGGCTTTTCAACTTGTTAATTAAGAAATAATATATCCCAAGCATCGATTTTATCTCTCGATAAAATCACTGTTTTTCGCAGGGATGCACATCATTATATCACTTAGGCATCTAAATATAGATCGTCAACAGTAATTTTATTGCATATTTACACATACTTTTGGTCCGTCTATGTTCAAATGGGGAAATGAATCATACGTATATATGAGTAACAATAACATAACATGCTTCAAAAGAGTTGAGAAGAGTTGAAAAGAAACAAAGTAATTATCCCTGCGGACTTGTATACCTTCTATAGAAATGTTCGAAGCACTCGTTACAGAAATGTTCTCCAGCAGAAATATGATACCATCTGGATGTGTAACCGTTGCCACAACATCTGTTAAAATAAATATAACAATAATTAATCACATTGTGTTTACATTTACTTCTTATAAAATTTGTGAACATGTTCTTCTTACAAAACTTTGTGTGCATGTACTTCTTATGAACTTTGTATACTTGCTTTCTTATTTTAAACCAGACATGTGCAGATGGGACACAGATTCCCCCTCATTCCACTGTATCCCAGTTCCCCCTCATTCCACTTTATCCCTGATTCCCCTCATTCCACTGTATCCCTGATTCCCCCTCATTCCACTGTATTCCTGATCCCCCCTCATTCCACTGTATTCCTGATTCCCCTCATTCCACTGTATCCCTGATTCCCCTCATTCCACTGTATCCCTGATCCCCCTCATTCCACTGTATTCCTGATCCCCCCTCATTCCACTGTATTCCTGATCCTCCCTCATTCCACTGTATTCCTGATCCCCCTCATTCAACTGTATCCCTGATTCCCCTCATTCCACTGTATTCCGATTCCCCCTCATTCCACTGTATTCCTGATTCCTCTCATTCCACTGTATTCCTGATCCCCCCTCATTCCACTGTATCCCTGATTCCTCTCATTCCACTGTATTCCTGATTCCTCTCATTCTCTCTTTATTCCTGATCCCCCCTCATTCCACTGTATTCCTGATCCCCCCTCATTCCACTGTATCCCTGATTCCCCTCATTCCACTGTATTCCTGATCCCCCCTCATTCCACTGTATCCCTGATTCCTCTCATTCCACTGTATCCCTGATCCCCCTCATTCCACTGTATCCCGATTCCTCCTCATTCCACTGTATTCCTGATTCCTCTCATTCCACTGTATTCCTGATCCCCCCTCATTCCACTGTATCCCTGATTCCTCTCATTCCACTGTATTCCTGATTCCTCTCATTCCACTGTATTCCTGATCCCCCCTCATTCCACTGTATTCCTGATTCCTCTCATTCCACTGTATTCCTGATCCCCCCTCATTCCACTGTATCCCTGATTCCTCTCATTCCACTGTATTCCTGATTCCCCTCATTCCACTGTATCCCCGTACCCCCTCATTCCACAAACCCTGTTACAGTACTTAAGTGCATGAAAATAGCAGTTACACTTTTGGAGTAACAAGCAATAAAATCTAAAATGGTTATATCAGCTAAAATCAGGGGCAATAATTGTGTTAATCTTCAATGAATTTACTACACATTTCAAAGGTGCATAACATTAACATTAACATGATGATAAAAATTGTGAGAAAGTTTCATGTCTCCCAATAAAGTACCCATAAATTCCAGTTATATTTTTAAAAATTAAGTTACACATTTAAATGATTTATTCAACATAATGAAGTTGGATCAAAATCTACCATGTGATTAAAGAAATGAGGTTTAATGAAATTGTGGATTTAACAAGGTCAATATTATATAAAGCCAACAGAATCAACCTTACAGGAAATTATTATAAACTCAATGTACATACATATATCATTTATTTGAAAATACCAGCTGAACTGTAAATTAGATGACTACTGATATATTCACACTTACGTTGATGCTACACGTGCAAAACATATTGGCAAAGTAGGACATCCAGATTTTGGACAATTTTTTATCTTCTTTTCTTTCACCTCTGAATCAGAATTCTCTACATCTGAGGCAATCTTCCTTTTAGCTGCCTGTCTAACTGGCTTTCTACTTGCCATGCTGATTGTTTATCTTGTCATCCCTTCGTATTCATTTCAACTGAAATGCATAAAAAAATCTGTAGTTTTTTTTCTTAAAATAATTTACAGCAATCTCCTTAAGAGTCCATGGTAATAATTCAAATCATATGCTCTTTGCTTAAACCTCAGGGTCTTTTCCAAAAGTACAGTTACCTCGAAAATTATTCAATGAAATATCATGTTTCATGTCCAGTTTTAAATTCTATCAATGAAGTAATGAAGTCAAACATAAGTCCATAATTTTTTATTATACAAGAGATATATATTTTGTTATACATAACATTATTTTTGTATTGATAGAATTTCAAATTTCAGTGATCTAATGAATCAGTCCATGTTAAATAATGGAAAATAATATATTAAAATACACTGCCACCCCATGACGGGGATATGATATATCACTATCATCAAGAGATTGGATTGCTGACAGGTAGAAATCACCCCATCCACATACATGTAAATAATCAAAACAAATATTACCGTGTATTAAAAGTACTTATTAATGTGGGCTTAATATTCTTCGATTTTTGTTAAAATAAGGAGTTTTAAATTTCTTCTACCTTATTTCTGCAGTGTCACCATTCTTGCATTGATGTATTTTCTGCATTTTAATTAAGATATTTGTACAAAATTAACTAATAAAACAGACAACATTTCAAGATTTATTGCTGTTACATTATGTCTAGTCTAATTGTACTGCACAACAAGATATTATGCTATTTTCGTGTCTGGGCAATATCTCGCCTCTAGCGAGATTCTCCCCCAGAACGAAAATATCTCAGAATCAAGCTTTGGCACATCAATATATAATTATATTTTGACTACATCGTCTGGTTAAAATACAGACGATTGATATGTTTCGCCGCAATCATTATGTATCTGTATATACACGTCAAAAAACAAACTAAAGTAAAAAAACTTGTGCATCATCAAATTCACCAATCTATGTACTGTACTGGCATGCGAGCAGTTCCCGTACAAAAATCGTAGTTACTTAAACATTATTTTTTATTACGCTCACTCACCAAAATTTTAATGTTACACATCACTATTCAGCTCGTTACACAAATCATGGAAATTCCATCATGTTCTAAACATAGAATAACCCTTAGTTATGAGGCCTCATATGGGGTACCGAAATTATCCATTATTTTGTATGAAGAGAAGTAGTTCCCGTACATAAAATTTAACCCATTATAATTATACAATTTTGTTATATCGGACCTATTTTTCAATTATAATTGTTGAACAGACCATTTTCTAAGAGATAAATAGATGTAATTCAGGAAATAGAGCGTAGACTAAACGCTGGTATCAATTACCCGGTACCGTTACCCCAACGCATTCTCATGCAATGGCATGCTTGTATGCATGATATTTTACGCATGAAAGCCATAAAATTATTTAATATAGTAATATTGATCAAAATTCTGATAATTAAACAAGTTTTCACCACATTGCCTACTTATCTGTAAACAGGTGGTATTAGTGGAAAACCCTTTAACAGGCCTCACGTGTAAGTATTTTAGCGCATGCGCGCAAGGACGGAATCCCCCAGAGAAAACAAGGTCACGTTTTGACAATGCACAGGTGAAAGTGATTTAAAATGAGACTTTTATACGTACTGCCGAACTGACACTTAGATTTTGTCTCTTTTATGCATCTGCTTGATTTGAAATGAATTTTTGAAGATTGCAAGTAAAAATCAAGCGTTTAAATGAAAAATACGGGTACTGCTTCTGTACGGGAACTGCTCGCATGCCAGTATACCTCTTTGTTCATCAGAAACTAATTCAGTAACTGGGTGATATAATAGATTTGTTAACAGGTTGTTTACAATTTACTATAGCTTAATGTCTTGATTAGCCCACTGTCTACTTCCTCGCATGGAGCTTGACAAAAATGGAGATATGTAAGAAAAAAATTATATGATGAAAACCTAGCGAAGATTAAATAATTCTTCTTCCTTGTTTAGCAATTTATACTCTGGCTTTCTTTACTTTAGAACTAAATTAATTTTTATGGAGGAGATCACAGATCTATATATAGTATGTTCTAAACAGGAATGTGCCTGTGTTAATGTAAATCATCAAAGTGATAACCATATTGTACTGTCTGTATTATAATTTTGTATAATGTACAGTACTCCACCCACTAAGTTCCTGAACATGTGTTCGTAAACAAACATCTTATCAAAAAAATAAGGCACATGAGGCACAAGTCACGTAAATCAGTTATAAACCTACATATAATAGTAAAGCATTAATTCATTTTCAATTAAATATATGATTGTCACTCACTGGTAGAAGTCAAATATTTGCTTTTATCGAAAGTTTTTTTTTCGCGCAATGGTGTCTTGAGAAACTTGTGTTGTAAAGTAAAACAGATGTGAAAAGGTTAAAGACCACTAATTGTTTGTCCCTGCATCATACTGTATTATCCTCATGATGAATACTCTTGAAACAATTGTATTTAATTGATCAATCAAGTCCATGTATTGAAATGGTTGAACTTGTTATACATATATGAGATTGATGCTTTTTTATGAAAAATTTGAAAACTTATTAATGAGCCGTGTCACGACAAAACCAACATAATGGGTTTGCGACCAGCATGGATCCAGACCAGCCTGCGCATCCGCGCAGTCTGATCAGGATCCATGCTGTTCGCTATCAGTTTCTCTACTTGTTATAGGGTCTGTAAGCGAACAGCATGGATCCTGGTCTGGATCTATGCTGGTAGCAAACCCATTACGTTGGTTTTGTCATGACACGGCTCATTTAATAGAAAGTTAAATTGTAAAGTGAGACACACACTGCAAACAGCTACAATGTGGGTTATTAATCAGTCAATAATTGCATAACATGTGAACTATTTCTTAAATTGTGACTATACTGTTCTTGATATCTCAGTACATTTTCCTTGAGAAATATTTTGGTTCCTCTGGAGGCATTTGCATTATAATATCGTCTGAATCATACAGAATATACATGTAGCTAGTGCACTGGTATGTTGCCATGCACGGACAATTCTAGTGTGAATTATTCAATTATTTCCGGTTCTTACAGCCATGCCATAATTAAGTTTGAAAACATTCAGTCCAATGCTACAGTCAACGCCAAACTGTATATACATGTATTAAAGGCTTAAGTTTCTATATAGCCTACCATAGAAAGCAAGCTGATTTGTAAACATGAAGATTACATGCCCCCAGTTAATTGCCCTAAGTGTCAAGATCACTTGCACATTAAAAGATTAGTAATTTTGGTATCTGTTATTTAGTTTCCACAGATGTATACATGTATCAATACTTACCACTTGGACTTAAACCCAGCACCTAGGCGGATCACTTGCATATCAACATAGACGTGTGGTTTCGTTGTATTCTTCCAACAATATCAACATACAGGCATTGTTGTCTTTTTGGTATTTAGGATGCAATATGCAGTCTGTAGATTAGAGTTTGCATCAACACTGGCAGAAAATGCCATCCTGAGCCCAACTCCTTAAGATACCTTTGAATAATGCCTTCCTGGTCTCGAACCCAGAACCTCAGAGTTGGCAAATCACTTGTATGTTAACAGACAATTAAGTTGGCACTGTTTGGACTATATTCGGGTGCTGCAATATGTAGTGTGTAGTTGCAAAATTTATATCAAGAGGTTCGGAAAATGCATTTTGGACGGCCAACTAGAAAGCCTAGGTGAACATGTACGTCAAGTTTGGACTGGAAGTTAACATCGCTCCTCTTAACGATGAAAGTCAATTCAATCTATATGTTCCATCTTGTCCTTATATGAATGATGAGGAGAGGACGGCAAATTGTATCCGTGTATAACTAGGTGCTACAAACAAAAAATGTGGACAAGAAAGATACACAGATTGTTTATTATGGATTTCCTATGCCAATTAAGTTTTTCCACTGTTATGACTGCTCGTGCAATTTCTGATCTGAAATTGATTTATGTCTAGGTCAACGCGTGCAACTCGTAGGACTGTTGAATATCCCAATAGTTCTTATTATAAAGGATATGGTTAGTTTCAATTATACAATGTATTGAATAAATCCTTGAAGGGGTATAGGAGGCAAACTTTCGGTCTATACTGTCTATCATGTCAAGCAATTTCTGGAACGAAATAATTGTGCCCTGGCGAAAGAAACACACATTGTTTAATATGAAAGTTATGTAAATTACTTTTTCAAAAGCCTGCCGGACTAAGCTGGAATTCGATACCTTTCATCTCCTTGATCAGTTGCATGCAGAAAGACGAACAAGTCGTCAGGTCTTCAAGATGGCTTGTTAATAGATGCAATCTTACTGTCCAAATGAACAACCAACAGGTAGTTTATGTCAAATCTCTTGCATGCACTGTCATGTATACTCCAACAGATCCTCGCGGCCACCTTTATACTGTCCCGTGTCAGTGGATTGTTGACAAGGTTCTGTTACTTTGTTTTTGGCATTTATATTTTTCAACATTTTTACTAGCAAGATATATTTATTCAGTTTTGGTGTAATCTATAATCAACAAAAGATTTTTCATCAAGGCCTATTATCTCCCTTTACTTAGGTAATCTATAAAGGTGATATATAGGCCCATCTTGTTAGACTTGGCATGCCATTTGCTATCGAATTATGAGAAAAGTAGTACATTGTCCATTGACAGATCTTGTAATATTTTTTACACATTTGCGTTTAATTTGGCCTTCTTGAAGATCTTGTCTTATGACATTTGTGTCACAGTATTAATTAAGACAATGCAGTCATAGAAATCAAAGTTTGCCAGTTATAGCAAAATTCAAAACAAGTCTTCTTGTCCAGTGGGTTGTTGTGTTCAAGTATGTAGATAATCTGTTAACAACAGCATCATGATTGCACCATGACTGTAGCAATAGCTCTACATTTTTTTCTGGTTAAGTCGAGCTTAAAATGAATAAAAAGCCCAATACAATTCAAAATATTTTATTTGATATAAACCTTTTCTTTTGGTGTCTCATACAAAATGCATCTCAAATGATAGATATTTAAAGAAATAGAAAGTACAATGTAAATGAATGAAGAATTCAGGACTTTAACTTAACGCTATATTCAGTAACAATAGTTGTAATTCAATTTAAAACAATAATGAACATTTACTACAATCATATGTACCTAATATAAGTTATCATGTAAGTCAGGAAATATGGTAAGTAATTGATATATAAAATTCATTTTTTTAACAATTAAAATTGTAAAATACTGAATTTAATATATATTTTGTATGCATTAAATAACTGTGAAACAGTTAAGTCATGGAAGAAAAAAATCTTGCAACAATTTTATTCGTACAACACTTAAAACACCTCTCAATCACATCATAAAGAAAATGAACTTGAAAATTTCTAACTATCTGATATAAAACTTGGTAAATATGAAAATTCCATGAAATTTAATAATTTCACCAAAATATATTTTATTATCTAAACCTTTGAAAGCTTCCTTTTGCCTCGCTGTTATTTAACACTGACATATTTTATTAATCTATACACTTGTCAATGTCTAAGAATTAAAAAGTACAAGAATTCAAGAATATTCCATACAAAAACAACCTTGCTGAGCTATCAGTAATAATAGCTAAATATAAAAAATGTTCTCTCCTTAAAACTACATGTTATGAATATTATTTTGTAACAACTTTTATTAAATATCTGATTAGTTAAAATTCCAAATAGAACAATCCACTCAATCCACTATATAAAAACTTGGGTACCAGTAAACTGTATTACTTCTTTCATATGTGAATTACTCATTATGTCTCTTATTACAGAATTTCTTTTCTTATAAATAGGCCTAAGACAAATTTTAACCAATGTAAGTTATAGAATAACTTTTAAAATTGTTACAAAAGTAACTCAAGCTTTAAATTTTTGTCCTTCTGTGATATGAATGTAAGTTCTTAAGTCATGTTAAATTTCTGACATTCATGTCTACCATAAAAGTCATACAAAAACTGTCAACTTTAAAATTTTCTCATTTATTTTTTATTTTAGAGCAGAAAAAAAATCTTCCAAGCTTATCATTACAGAATAACCAGTAAGGTTGTTTTGAGGCATGAAAACTATATAATGAAATAAAAAACTTATCTAATAACATAAACAATATTTGTGTTGTAAAATGTTTATAGTCCTCTATTATCTAAATCTTTAACTTTATAAATGCGGACAAGCCAGTGCTCTGTGGTATACGCTTCCTCTAACACATCAAGTTCAAAATCCTTGTTACCTATCTCAGCATTTCTAACTCTGTCATAACCTGTTGGTTTACCTGAATAAATAAAATATACATATTTATCTTACTACAGCATTCAATGTTGAAGTGTGGGAAATACCTCTGGCTTCAATTGGGAGAAATTAAACAGCATTCCAGGCAATTTGATAAATTTATATCAGTTGAAAAACTTACATACGCATAGCTCTTAACTTTTATTCATAGTGATGTATGATCAAATAACCTGTCTCTTCTTTTAAAGAATAAGTCAAAACTGTCCAAATTATCTCAGATGCTATTTTTTTATAGATATTTTGGCAGCTTTTGGGAATATTTTATTGAAATTGGGAAAAAATAGGTTATTTTGGATCCGAAATGGAACCTTATATCAGACCCTGGTGATTATGCAAAAATGCCCTGTAAGAACAAATTTATTGTACAAATTCAGAGTTCATAGAGGAATCATCCTCCTGAGTACAGATGGAAAAGTGATTAACTTTGGTATATTACCAATATCTCACACTGAGATAAAAAGTGTAAAATATAGAGACTTTAAGTCTTCATGCAAATGCATACTATTATTGTTAATTCGATAAAATGACAAATACAACAAGTAAACTACAAATACCTTGTTCAGTATACACCTGACCAAATCTATAATAACACATCTTGTACATCAAACAGTTCAGTAGTATAGGGGAACCATCTTTGTCCACACGGAATTCACCCTGTGGAGTGTAATAGTCACTTTCCTTGATATGACTGCCACGATCTGTAGACCCACCAATACGTACCATCCATAAAAACTTGTTTATATCTAAAATATTATACCAAGCAAATCATTAGTTAACTTTTAGGTTTACATAAAACTCATTTTAAAATCTTAAGTGGTAACCTGGTAAAGATAAAGGCTCATGTTTTCAAATAAAAATTCATAATATCTGGCTCTTAAACACATTCAATACAAAATTTCAAAATAAATACTTTCTATAAGTTATACAGTACAGACAAAAAAATATTTGAACTTTTAAAATGTTAAGGAATAGTTCTAAAAAATAAGAAATAGAGGATATTTGTTTAGTTCAGTGTAAGATCGGAATATATTTCACCGAGTCAGCGCCAAAAGGTATATTTCATGAGTGGCGCAGCCACGAGTGAAATATGAACTTTTGGTATTCACAAGGTGAAATATATTTCGATCTTACACTAAACTAAACAAATTTTCTTTTTATTATATGCAAAGAAACGTTTTAAAAAGACATTAAACCTAATACTGAATAAAAAGCGCGCCAAATAATAATACAACGTGACGTCATTTACGACGTCACGTCATTAAGTTGGTACCCAGTACTGTGCACGCTGGTGTTTCACCGAAACAACGTAAGGGGCTTAAATTCAAAACAGTGAAATTATCAAAGTGGTAATTGCACTGTTTGAAACAGTGAAATTACCAGTTTTATATCACTGATATATTTCTATAAACCACCAAAAAGCATGTAATAAAATGAAAACTACCATCTGAAGAATATCCTGTGAGACCTCCAAATATAACCAGTACATAATTGACATCTAATTCTCGCATTATTTCATATGCTTTTTCCTCTGTAGATGACATAGCCTGAAAACATAACAACAATAAATGAGGAGAAACAAGCAAATTCGTTGAATTTATATCCCCCGCCGAGTACTGGTTATTATTAACACAACAACTGAAGACATAAGGCTTTATTTATATATTAATCATGGCATAAACAGTAATATTCTTTGAACTTGATAAATATTCAGGGCAATAACAGAGCCATAATTTTGTGTTAAATAGTAAAATCTGGAAATGCCAATGAGATGTATGCATACTACATAACTAATCAAGGGCCATAAATCTGAGTTATAAGTATCTGACCGGGAACAAGGCGACTATATGCACATCTCCTCTTAGTATCCCATAAAGTTTCATTGAATTCCAGCCAGTAGAAGCAGAGAAGTAGCGAGGAAACAAATATTTTTCTATATGGATACTGCATAACTAATCAAGGGCCATAACTCTGAGTTAAAGTGTCTGACAGGAACAAGCTGACAATATGCGCATCCCCTCTTGGTATTGAAGGTTCCCATAAAGTTTCGTTGAATTCCAGCCAGTAGTTGCAGAGAAGTAGCGCGGAAACGATTTTTATTCTATATGCATACTACATAACTAATCAAGGGCCATAACTCTGAGTTAAAGGGTCTGACCGGAACAAGGCGACGATATGCGCATCTCCTCTTGATATTGATGATTCCCATAAAGTTAGTTGAATTCCAGCCAGTAGTTGCAGAGAACTACTCCGGAAACGATTTTTTACTCCATATGCATATTGCATAACTAATCAAGGGCCATAACTCTGAGTTAAAGTGTCTGACCAGAACAAGCCGACGATATGCGCATCTCCTCTTGGTATTGAAGGTTCCCATAAAGTTTCGTTGAATTCCAGCCAGTAGTTGCAGAGAAGTAGCGCGGAAATGATTTTTACTCCATATGCATACTGCATAACTAATCAAGGGCCATAACTCTGAGTTTAAGTGTCTGACCGGAACAAGCCGACGATATGCGCATCTCCTCTTGGTATTGATGATTCCCATAAAGTTTCGTTGAATTCCAGCCAGTAGTTGGAGAGAACTACTCCGGAAACGAAATTCGGACGGACGGATGGACGGACGGACGGACAACGCCAATACTATATCCCCCTCCCGATTCCATCGGCGGGGGATAATAATGACATAGCCAGGGTTTCATCAATATAGTATACATGAACATGACAAAAGCAAAGCTCCTGTAAAAACTAAACAATCAAAATCGCTGACATTATGTGCAAGGCACTTGATGACAATCATTCTGTAAAAGTTTGGTTAAAATCTCATAAAATGTAGAAGTTGTGTCCAAAAAAAAATTGTTAACGCCTATACATGTAGTTGTCACCTAACATTTATATACATGTAATGGCCTTTACTATAAAAGAAACAGAAGAAGTAATAAGCCTTTTAAATTATGTGCTGAATTGCAAAATCTTCAGGAGGTCCAATGCCAGGACCTTTCCTTAACTTTACTTGTGACCTTACTTAGCATACATGTATTTGCAAAAAGTTTGGAGAAATATACTATTCATAAAGGAAAACTTAACTCGGTAGACAATAATGGGTGTTCTGAATTAATTTAACTTTTGACTATGTATTTCTATGGATCATCAATGTAAAGAGATAATAACTATCTCAGATATAATTAAGGATTTTTGATTGTGTACGTTCAAAACTTGTCTGGGGCAAGCCATTGTTTCCCAGAGCAATCGACTTTACACTTTTTACTTAGTACTGGCTGGTTCCAGGAACGTGTCTATAAGCTTATAGCTTCCTACAAGATTGAACTCAACAAAATTCTGTATAATATAGTTATAATCAATATCAATTTGATTACTGATCTGATATATCAATAATAGATATTAATTCAATAAGTAAGTTAAGTATAATGAAAGGAAGGACATACCTGGAACACCCTGTTGAATAATTTCAAAGAGCATATAAAACATTTTATGCCAACTGAACTGTTACTATAACTACCAATTACAAAATATATGTTAACTTACTTGTCCTACACGAGATATATGTGTATTATTCCAAGTGTTATTATCAACAAGTATAGTTCTGTTTGCCATAGCTGTAATCTGGTAACCGTAATCCCACCAGGACATTACTTTAGCATCCTAGAATATAATCAATCATTTGATTAAAGTTAATCTATATTTGATAGTCATGAATGAATAAGCATAACTTGTTATACTAACAACAAGTCTTCAAACTGCTTATAAAGCTTACATACCAATACTTGGAAAAAAGAAAACACTTGCTATCACAAACGCTGGCACATAAATGTGCTGGATTCAAATGAAATTCAATTTCATGAACAAGTAAGCCTTGTTGATGAAAACAATTTTGAAAACAGTATCATGTACACAACTCTTTTCAATTTTGGGTCATTTTTCACAAATAGAATAATTATTTAGGAAAAACAGAGTGAGCAAATGATCTGAAATTTTGTAAGTTATTGATATAGCCCTACATCAAATAGTACAAAAATGTCGAAATCAATATTTCCAGCCCTGTCATGTCAAAAAAACCTCAGTGGAGTCCCGGAAAAGAACATCATTTTTGTTTGTCTTTGACAACAGCTACTTCTACTAGAGATAATATATTAAGGAAGAAAATGCCAGCTTACCTCAGCTGTGTTGTGTCTCAGCCAGTAGTAAGCCTCCCTGAAATCGTCAAAGATAATTCTACCACCATCTCCAGCACGTGCAGACAACACAATAGAAGGACTGGAGTATGCTTCTGATGTAACCCATGTACAATGGAAGGTATAAGTGATCAGGAAAGCTGCCATCATAAACACAACACCTGTGGCAATCTGAAATACATAACAACAATAATATAAAACAGGGATATCAACTGTTATGAATTCATGGTTTTATGTTAAATTTCACGTCCTTTGTTTAAAAATTTTGCCGTTTTGTTTCTCAAAAAGGGGATTCAAGTTTTGTTCATTAATAGTTCTTAACTGGTAGGAGAGTTTCTAACTCACAAAAACATCAGCAAAAACTCATTCAAAATTAGTGTACATTACTACTTATAAATATTTTTGACAGATAATAAGGCCCAATATAAATGGTTGTTTAGAAATGCGGTATAAATCTAGCCGCTAGGTGCTGTGTATATAAAACTATATAAACATCATGATTATCAAATGAAAAGCGACATTACAAATGTGCAGTATTATAATAACAGATATATTAATATTATACTCTTATACTAAAACATGATGTCATGAATAAACAATTTGTTAAGTAATACCAATTATAACCATTTCATAGAAAAAAGATCATCATAAATATAGAATGGAGAAAGAATTACCTCATGTTTTAATGGGTAAGTCTGGTCAATTCTCTTTGGTTTCTTGTCCTTGCTCTTGTTAGGGTTATCAATATTCTTCATATATGTTGACAGGATACCTGACACCCCTATAGCAGACAGAATGCACATGACCGGTGCCAGAACCAACATCAGACGTACCATCACACCCTGAATTACCAACACAAAATAATAAATTCAACTGTAACACTAATATGTTAACTAAGAAATTTTTTACAAACTGGTCACTGGACTGATTGTTCACTAAAGTTTAGCTACAAATGTATTAATGTTACTGTGTATTTGACAGGCAGTAAAAACATGACCTGTTAATTACAGACAGATTACCAAGTATATCACAAAAGAAACACTTTTAACTGTCCTTCATAAATTCTGTAAATTTATCATTTCAACTGTAAGTTTATCATTTCAACTGTACGTTTATCATTTCAACTGCAAGTTTATCATTTCAACTGTATTCTCTAATACCATCTTGTATTTAGTTCTCCATGTAAATAAACTAGAAATTTGCAAAAACATTTAAATTAACAGTAAAACTTTGTTAAGAAAGTAGGCAAACTTACAGCGAAGTAGATACTGGTAACTCCATACATGATGATAAAGATGTTAGCATCTGTAAGCTTCTTAAAACAGAAGTATAGGCCAGCTGAAATAACAATATATGTATACTTTATCTTATCTTTGACTGCATCCATACTGCTAAATAATCATTTTCTAAGGTTTGTTGTGCAATTTACATGCAATATTTATGTAACACATCTGCCCTACATTAAATTCCCGTATGTCTATTGTTGGTTTTAAAGGATATAAAAACAAACAGGTAATTTAGAAATTATGTAGTTCTAAAGTTAAAAGTCTGGTGATATCTTAATTATGCAGTTCGACCTAGTATAAACCTGTCATAGCTACTAAAACTTTACAAGTTAACTATTTACCTGGGAACATATAAAACTTTACAAGTTAACTATATACCTGGGAACATAAATACAAGCAGTTGAAGATCAAAGTAGAAAGATGACCATGTTGTAGGCTGATGTTCTGATACAGATGCTATAATCGGGATGTTGTTCTTCGCATAAGATGGGTCAAGGAGAGAATAAAAACGTCCAGTCCATGGTGAGATTTCTGTTTAATCTGTTAAGGATCTATAACTGTCTATAGTATAAACTTACACCCATTCCTTATTGCTAGAACTGGAGAAAATGAATTCACAGGTTATATAAAATTGTACCTAGGTGCTAAAATAAACTGTTAACACAACTATAACATATTCATCAGTATGCAAATATGCCGGCTTACTGGGTCAAGTTAATAATCAAGGAGCGCAAGTGTCTAATGAACATATTTCTAGTTTTGCTCCCTTTGTGATTAAATGTTCTCCAGGAACATGATACAACTCATGTTCTATATATCATAGAGTCAATACAAAACTATTGTATCTTCAGAAACAAACACAAGTAGTTGCAACAGTTTTGAAGCAATTATATATTAATGCATTACAAATTTATATTCAGTGTTATAAAGGATACTGCCTAGGGCGGTTGCTATGGCAACAGCTAAAGTACCAATGGAGCCAACAAACAAGACAATACTCTTAAAGAGCAGATTAAACTGTTCACCAGTCAGTTTAGATCTTACATAGTCAACAAATGTATGAATCTGACACAATCCAAACACGCCAAGAGCCTAAAATAAATAAGAGAAAAGGTCAAAATTTCATTTGAATTCTACCATTAAACAATATACAATTACTGACTAGCGAGTCATTGAATATGATGAGATTCATATGCAGATGACATATTGACCGAGGTGACAGTATAGGTCATATGGCAACTTTACTGGACAGGTACAGGAAGACCTCAGGTGTCCTTCCATGCATTATTACAATAAAACTGAGACATATTTAAAACTATAATAAAAGCAAAAATCAGCCTAAGCATAAAAGGGCAATGAATATTGTCCCTACATATCTTCACAAAAATTAAAAGAAAATTTCATTACCTCATATGTTGCACTCAAAATTTATTACATACACATAACACTGTTCATTTAAAAGATCAAAAATTTAATGTACAATACAAAATTAAATATAAAGCATTTTGAGGACAGTTTGGTTCCTAGTATACTTACAGCCATATGTTCACTAGATTGTACAGGCTGGAAACCAACAAAAGAGATCTGCATAGAGAGGATTGTACCCAGACAGTATACCTATAAGTGATAAAAAGAATAAATATTAAAACAACATTCTTACTGTGTGCAATTGATCTTCCTATTCAAATAAATAATTTATCTGAAATTTGGTACTTGCAAATAAAGCTTTTGCTATGAAGTAAATCTATCTTGCTTTGTGGAGGCCATTGAATATCTGATTTGTGGGTGTGTTAAGTTAATTTACCTTAATTGCTGGAATAATTACATTCTGGGTGTCCAATTTGCATTAATAAAAGACATATTTTTGTGTGAATCGGCTGATATAAATAGGATATACAGAGAATAACAATTTAGACAGTGGGTTAATAAACTGCATATATGAAAAGATGAGGACCAAGGTAACCCTTTCCCTTTTTTTCAGGGTTTATTTCTCTGCTAATTCCAAAATACACAATTAATGAACAGTTCAAAAGTGTTTTACAGTAAGTAACATACTTATGTTTGCTTATATGTGGTATTTAAACAATGTGAGCAAATAAAGTGACATTATAAGCATTATCTACATTATACATACTGTTGAATAAGCAACATATATTCTGTGAGAGAATCGTCCAGTTAACATGAGGGCCAGCACATGAAGGGGGATCAAGTTGATAAGGAAAACATAGCCTCCCCATGAAGAAACCTGAAATATAAAATGACTATCACCTTAATGCTGCAACTTTTATTTTATTCTCTTTTTCTTTTGCAAAATATATTTTTTAATGTTTGTTTGTTTTTTCATTTTACGCCTTTTTCCAACAGTATTTCAGTCATATAGGCGGGTAGTTTCCTAACCATCGTTCCTGGAGAGTTACACCAGTACCAGACTTCCTTCCTCCGCGCTAAACTACCAAAGCATCTCCCGGGCATCGAACCCACGCCAGAGAGGTAACTGGATTAGAAGTCTACTCCAACCCCTCGACCACGGAGGCGGTTACTATTTTTTAATTCAAGCGACATAACAATTCATTTTAAGTATGTACTGAATATGAAATTCAGGAAGTCAAAAAAAAACACAATTAACATTCTATTCTTTTTGCTATTTTTAGTATTATTTTTCTGATCTTATATCCACAAGTTAAAATATGAAATCTCTTTTTAAGGTTACAAATAGAACAAACACAAAATCTAAAGGCAAGGCATAACACTCTGTCTACGGAGATATCAAAAAAAAAGAAAATAACTTAACATTAAGTGCTTCCAAAATAGAGGCAATCACCTTAGCTAAACAAGTAAACTTACCATATAAAAGTATGCGAGTGCACAGAGGGAAGCCCAGAATACTGAGCCTGTTTTCACAGATTTAATCCACAACATGTAGGTCAGCAGCATACAGAAAATAGCAATACCCTCGTTATCGTAGGAACCTGCCACGGAACGGGAAATATATCCTGGTACTATAGCAATCATAGCTGCCGCAATCAGACCAGCTCCTGCATCCTGTATCAAATTATCATAAAATTTCATTTTGTTTGGTTTCATTATGGTATGATTTTTAAAACTCATCCTGGTAGAACTAAAGATTATTTACCTTTCTCACCAATATAGAGTCAGGCCGGTCTACTGGAACCAAAAATGATCAACCTTTGCCACCAGTAGAGCCAGAAATGGTAATTGAAAAATTATTTTGTAAAGCTCGAGAAGTTTTTATCCTTATGTCCCACTCAATTAGCTCAGTAGGTTGTGGATAAGGTCTTATAAACCCTAGTCCTATGTATGGCATATGTAGTTTTCTTAATAAGCCCTAGAAGTCAGCAAAATCAATGGTTAAACAGAATCTACTGCTAGCTACTTTTCTTACATAAAAACTTTTGAATCACTAAGGAGCACATTATAACTCAATAAACTGGATACTAACAAATCTTGACTTGCTACATTAAAATTTATAGAGAGCACAGCTGCACTGCATATGTAAAATTAATTATTGACAATAGCACACAATGGCCTTTTAGTTTTATTCTATCCTACTGTTTTAAATGAAGCACACTGTTAGTTAATTGCAGAAAAACAGATAAATACTGATATCTTGATGCCCGATAAAATATTCATGAAATTAAACTGGCACTAATTTTTTTCAAATCAGCATAAAACAAGCAGAAAAATATATAATTCAGCCTGAAAGAATTTTTTCTTCTTCAATAAATGGGGTTCTTTCATTTAATAGGTTTCTCTACCTGTGGACCCAAAGTGAATAAAGAAAGAAATATTGCTAATACTTTACCTTAAGCTCCTTTGTAAGTTGATAAGTGACAAGTACTGTGAAACTAGAGAAGAGTGGGGCAAGGAATACACAAACGTTCCTAATCTCTATAGTAATGTTTAGTAGCCAAGCAGCATGGTAAAGTATAGCTGATGTTACCATTAAACCTATGAAAATATGCATAGTTATATATCAACAGTACAATCATTTATATATAAAAGAAATTATATATTTCATACATTAAGCAGTTCGTAACCCCTTGTATGTGGGTAATAATTTCTTTTTTTTCAAATGTATACAAATATGCTGAACAAACTGCAGAATAAAGAGACTGCTCATTCACTTGTTTAACATTGTATAAGAAATACAACTTTTATCTTGATTCTGCTCATATCTTCAAATATGAAATACAACAGTTTATCTATAAAATGTCATTTAATACCTTTAATACTTGTATTTTTATGGTATTTTGTAAAAGGAAAGATTTCTATAAAGTGGAAATGGCTCAGCAGTGGAAAAATGGTAGGTAGAGAGATTGGAAACAGAACGTTTTTTTATACTTTTTAAGAGTGTGAAATGTGCATACCAGGATAAATAGTTCCGCCAATAATACGTCCTAGTGGGTACCAGGCTCTGTCATCAAACCAGTTATGGAAGCTGTAGAAACCTTCTTCAGTTAAAAACCTTGTGGTTCGGTAGTTGAAATAAGGATCAAACTCGTGGATAACACTCTCAAATCGTAACACAGAAAACAGACGTGTTGAAAACGCTGAAATATAAAACATGAAAGATACATCTATTTCTACTCTTACTACAACATGCATAGTTTTAGATTTGAAATTTGAAAAGAAACAAATCTTTACAATCACGCTCTTTTCAACAGTCACTTTATTAATTTCATACTGAATCTGATTCTTTAACAAAGAAATCATTCTTGAGAAAAATAAGAGAGTTTGGCTTATGTTGCTAAATGTTTTACAATTTATTCACTGTCAGAACACTATATTACATTCATTAGCCGATAGTATATTGTCCAGTCAAAATTAAAAGACCTGACAAAAAGTTTTACTCACATAAAACTGCTGCAATTGTAAGTATCATCATTTTCAACAAGGTGTCCTGTTTGTCTGAGCTCATCTTCAGGAACCATTGTGGTCCAAAACCCGAAGTTGAGGACTTCATTTTTCAACTAAAAAAGAAAAAACATAAAATAACACAAAAAAATAGCAAATCTACTTTTATTATATAGAGGATATTTGTTTGTTTCAGTGTAAGATCGAAAAATATTTCACCGAGTGAACACCAGATGCAATATTTTCCACGAGTGGCGTAGCCACGAGTGAAAATATAATAGCTGGGGTTCACGAGTGAAATATTATTTGATCTTACATGTAAAACAAACAAATTTTCTGTTTATTTCATGATTTTTTAACGATTTTTACACCATTTTACTGATTTTTGTCGCGTAACGTCATGCTCTTATCTTCATGACGTCATCAAATAATGACGTCACAATGTTGAAGCAAAATATAATTCCATGATTATTTTTAGATTTTAGATGTTTTTCAGCACAACGTTCGTAAATATTTACGAACTACAGTTATCACGTACATTTTTTATTATGATTGACATCATTTCCGCTGAAAAAAAACATTCATTAATGATAAATATTTTATTTTTACGCCAAATATAGTTCGGCTACTGTGAAATTATATTTGGTAATCATTACTGTGAAATTATCGGAATATCAGGGCTCATCCTGGGGGGAAATTTTAGGGAGAAGTGACTTCCTCGCGAAAATTAGGGAGAATGGAAACAACCCAATGTGTCTGCATTAACATGCATGGCTATACATCCTTTAATTATAATATAAACACAATTAACATCACATATAATATTTCTCCAGTTTATTAATTAATAGTAGTATTAATTAATAGTAGATCTGGCAATGACATCTAAATGTTTTTGAGCTGCAAATATGAATAAAAAAAATTATTTTTGATATCTATTGATCAGCTATTTATAAGCTTTCTCTAAATATGTGTTTATATATTTTCATGTAGATTTGTTGATAATAATGTGTAAGAAAAGATATGATGATAAATTCATTTTTATATTTTTTACTTTCCTCACTTTTAATAGAAGATGACATTGGATATTGATTAATAACATCTGTTCTATTCTGTTCTGGTAACAGAATTTTCTTTCCAATTCCAAAATGTTGTAATGTCACATTTATATGCATATAATTATGCTTATAAAACAATTTTCAAACATCAAAGAATATGTAAAATATGTACTGCAAACATTTGTGCACATTATATTTGATCACTAAAATTACAAACATTCATTTCTTATTGAAAAATTTGACTGAGAAATTGTAGAAAATTAATTTCTAATTACCTCCCTTTATTTTCATGAAATGTTAAATTCGGTAATATCTTTATATTAGAATAATGCTATTTAACATTAATCTTAATCTGAGCGTCATATTTACGATATTAAAACAAATATATATTGAAACAAAAAGAACACTTCTTTCCTGACAAATTTTGTTGTTATATACATTTCATGATATACGACCGATATGTAGTTTAGCCGGGATGTCGTGCCCACGTGCGTAAACTGTGTCAAATTTGGCATTTAATGCCAAACAGCCCCACTGTCTACAACATACCAATCGCAAGATTTTTGCGAATTGGCTTTCTTAAATTTTCGCGTAGGTGTAACTATCAGAATCAGTAACTTTCTTAAGTTGCTCGGTTTCGGCATTTCGCCTTGTAGCCATGACGTGAGCGACATAACAATTTTACAGTAAAAATTGATGTTAACAGACTGAAATCATTCAAGACTATGATTAAGTTTTTAATCCGGTCGCTGATCATTAATGAAATTGATTATTTTTAATTGAATAACAGTTTTGTGATAGCCGCGAAAAATCCATTGCACATCGCCTTTACTCGGGTTAAAACCCCGCCATCGAAGTGCATCGTGTATATCAATTAGGGAAGATTGCACATGTTTAGATAATCGGGAAAAAACAATCTATAATTATCGCCAAATCCCGTATTAAACTCGCAAAACTATCACACAATTATACCGTTTCGGGCCGATGCTCTCATTATTTACTGTTTAGAGTAGGCGGTCTATCGCTTTGCTTACAGGTAGAAGGGTAGTATAAAGCGACGCTCTGATTGGATAATGATAATTAGCGGTCGTCATATGGGCGGATACAATCTCTGCTCTTTACATCGCTAAGTAATTACTATTTGGGAATTAAGATTTTATCGGCGATGTTGACTTCTCTTTGATCAATCGGGAGAGCGAAATTGGAATATACACGGCGAAGTTTTCGCCTGAATCGCCCTTCCGGATGAGCCCTGAATATAATCAACCGTTATAATTCAGTAATCTACTGCAAAACATGTAATAAATACAATTCACAAATACTGTTTAACACGCTAGTATGAAAAAATCCAAAATGCTCTCACAACCTGTTAGCAACATATATTGTGTGCCTAGTAAATGAGATGTCTGGGGTTCAAAACCATGTCTGGATTTCTTCAGGGTTTCTAATGTGTCATCCTTTATCACGGTCTGTGTCTAGGCTCGATAAATGCAATGTAGAATATGAATGCCCAGAGCTCTTCTCATATTGAATGGTCATGAAGCAGAATCTACTTTTTATATCAATAATTAAAATGTTAATTATAGTAGATCTATCATAATAAATTCTATAAACATTGGTTCTTACTTCATCTCAAAGATAATTCAAAGTTCTGTTGATTGACACCAGGAAATCATGGTAAGATTAAACTAAAATGTTTTAAAAGTTACCAAGGGGTGTGTTATTGTTAACGTCTTAGACTTTGCAATCTTTACTGGACTTGGTGGTAAATGGGATTTTTCAGTGTTGTTATATTTTTCTGGTCCTTCGGGATCATTGATGCCAGCACTATTAAGTGTTGAGAATTGAGTACCACTCAAGCCGGTGCTAGGGGGCGTGAGGGATGTTGCACTTATTCATTATCCCTCATGTACAGACTCAATCAAACTGAGTCTGCAATTCTTATGTAATATTGTTGTGATTAATGCTTACGAGGGATCACTTTGTCTCCAGATTTTTATACTTCACAACAGTAGGTGTCAAGTGATGTGTGGCAGCTGTAAAAATTTGCCCCGTACTTCACTTCAGTGTTGTTATATTTTTCTAGTCCTACGTGATCATTGATGCCAGAACTATTAAGTGTTGAGAATTGAGTATTGCTCAAGCCGGTGCTAGGGGGCGTGAGGGATGTTGCACTTATTCATTATACCTCATGTACAGACTCAATCAAACCGAGTCTGCAATTCTTATGTAATTTTGTTGTGATTTGCTTCCTGTAGATTTTTTTTAATTCACGTAGAAAAAGAATCAAAGCAAATTAATGACAGATGTCCCAGTCATGTAAAACGTTAGTTACTAGTAATAAAAAAGGCTAAGCAAGCACATATTAAGGTATGACGTGTTCTGTCTTCGTTAAACCATTAGACAGATTATCTCCCCTGACAGCAGCCACATCATCAATTCAAATGCGTGATTTTGCAAATAAAGGCGAATTTTTCAAGTTTGTCAACACGCAAACATATAGAACCTCAGTTGAATTCACCAATTTACAACAATGCCAGGAAATTAGAAATCTTACTTTTATCAGAAAACCTTTAATTTCCAGGGACTCGCTCTTCGCCGGGCCTATGTGTCAGCTTCTCCTACGTTAAATTGTAACGAGACCGTTGATTGGTCCAATGTATTGGATATTACCTGTAATATTAAAACGGGATTAAAACGTGTAAATCGTTCCTTATCCGTAAAAATTAAGTTTCTCGTAATCACATTAAATATAGCTCTGCGGTTCTCACTGTTAGAGTTTTATGTAATTCTACAATAGACTAAATGTAATTCTACAATGAACTAAATAAATAGCCCATCAAGCTTTTAGCTTAATGGGCTACCCATAGGTGCATAGTATATATTATATTATTTTTTATGATAAAAGTGTGCTCTTTTATGCTGTTTTTATCTCATTTTATATAACTATATAGATATATATGTTTTTCTTAACTGTATGATATTATTATTGCATCATGTGCTATGTTCCTAAATTAATAAATAAATAAAATAAATAAAAAATAACAAACAAGCCACATAAACACGAGCATTCAGTAATTAATTAGTGCAGACGTTTCGGCTCATCAGAACAAAAATGATATTCTTTATGTTATACGTAATTCTACATATTATTGATTTTTTTTCTAAAACTCTATAACAGATTACATGTTCTTTCTTTCTGTGGAAGATTTAATTGCATTGATCTAATTTACTAATTAACTCGTGTGAAAGAAAAAGATATTTTAACCATGGATTTTTATTTTACCGTTATTAACGTCGATGTTCTAAGTTTTAACATACATGTACATATGAAATGTATTAACTTATTAGATTTTAAGCATGATGTAAGCTCTCTAATAGGTCAGGTTGTGATAAAAAAATCTATTCAATTGATTTTAAATGATGGCCTATGGGGGATGGTAAACATATGAATATCAAATTTTGCCTTATATAATAAGGCGGTTATTATAAGGTATCAGCATTAAAACGTTTACTACAATTAATGTGTATCATTCTTGGTAATTATTTTTTTCTTAACATATCGCACAACCGACATGGAATGTGTTAAACGTTGAGAGCTAAAATGTAACCATGAAGTATCAAATAAGAATACATAACCTAGTTAAGATATACAGTAACACATACACATTATCACAAATGTCAACAATTTACCAACCATGTAAGAAAAAAAAACAGCCATTAATTGTGAGGCAATTAAGTTGTGGTAGTAAAGTAGTTTTATATATAAGTTTGTGAGAGGTTGAGTACAGCATATCTCTGTGTTATATTTTTACATTAATATAATATCTTGATCTTCTTAATTGGTAAGACAACCTTTATTTTATTAAAATAATCATGTGTATTTTTTTTATTGTTATTGACGTTTAAAAAGAAATCATGTAACCAAAGATTTGTTTTTTATTAACCATTCTTAGTTTTTACTTTTAATGTAAAGAATTCGGCAAATTAATTAAGCTATTGTACATTTTCGCTGTCAATTTGACTTGAATTATTAATAAATATTAATAATTTCGAAAGATTACCTATCATAATGGTGACTGACCAATATTTGATAATGAAAATGGTTATGATACAACATAAAAACTACCTAAATTACTAAAAGACTGTCCGCATTTTTTTTTAAATTGTGCGTTACTGATACATTCTTAACGATATTTATAGAAATTTCCGTTAGTCACGTGGAATATTGATAATTTTTTCACACTAAAATATAAAATTGAACAGAAGTATAACAAAATGCCAACTTATTTGGATTTTTACAAGTTTGTTCATGTCCATTTACTCTTGGATGGGCATAGTGTCACTTTCAATAAGTTATTTTCACGCAGAAGGTACGTGTTCATGTGCTCGCACGTGACTTAAATATTGCACAAACATCCTGAGCCTGACAAACGTGTAATGTCGGGCATTAAAGCCATATTAAATTAGCACTTTCTGATTAACTTTTTATAACAAACGTAACTCGAAATATTAAATTTCACAAGAACAATATTATCCATGTAGTAAATATTGTTCTACAATATTTTTTAGCATTGGTGTACATTGGGTTGTAACTGGACTCACACGTGCATATCTTCTTATCTCTTTTCTTCTCCTATTTAAATGACACTGGACTGTGTGGATATCAAGCATGCTAACGAACCTGAATATTTGAAAATGATTATACATCGTGTTTAATACGATTTATGTCACGTGATTGTTTTATTGTAGCTAATAAAAATACTTTCAATGAACATTTGATAAACAGGACATTTCTCATCAGACTGTTATGATAAAAAATTATGAATACAATGTATAATACATATAACGGATGGCACTGCTTCGACGTCACAATATCTGTGAGATAATTGGTCTTTGTTCTTCTTTCAGGGACATAAAAGATGCAGATTAAAGCGAACGTTCTGATATTTTATTGTATATGTTTGGTTGCCATGGTACACCTAACTTCAGCCATGTATGGATTGTGTTCAACAGAACATCATTTAAACAACGCCTGCAATGATAATTATGATCGTTGTAAAGAAGTAAGTTCATTTAAACTATATATTTTACCTTATTTATCCGACGTGCCCTCAGTCCGATTTGTCCTGATTTTAATATACCTGATATTATAAAGCTTCAAAAGTGAAGACGCTCGTTTTAGAGTGTATAATGGTTTTTAGGTAAGCACGAATTATTTTTTTCTAAGAAACAATCATAAGTCTACATGTTTGGTGACCCACATGCAGGTCTTAACATATTCAGTCTCTTGAGAATGGGTCGATCATGTGGTTATGGTTCACGAGTCTCATCAGGGACTTTGGACTATTTCATATGAGGAAGCTATCCAGTATTCTTATGGAAGGCCGGTGGTTCTACTCAAGCAATATTTTATCAGAATATCCAAATTATACATTTCTATTGTTATTTATCTATATTTGTAGTACAAATGTACTTATGGAAAATATGTCCATTGAAGACCAATTCACTTTAAGCTGCCAAAGTTCGCAATATTTGTGTACACAAGATTGCCAACTGTTGACTGTTCATATGTTTATTTTAGGTATACAACGGAACTTGTACATATGGTGCTGGCGACCACAATGAAGGTTGCCAATGTATTGTAAGAACATACAGGAATGGGAAATGGATTGAAAAGATTATGACAGAGAACCATTTACCCAAAGACGTTACCAAGACAACGAACAAACCTAATAAAGCCACCACAACATCGAACAAAAAGACGGGCCCTTGATTGACCTTTTATCAAGAATAGAGGATATGACAATAACAATGAGACGTTTAACGCTACTTTTTTTATCAACGTCGATTTCTCTGGAATGAAATAAAAGTTGTTTCCAGCTGAATATATACTGTTATTGATTCATTTAAACTCGAACAATTTATTTTATTTTTCTTGGCGAATCAGTTCCTACTTTTTACTAAACTCGAAAATGAAATCAAACATATGTTTCTGACAAAAATTGTCTGAGGTACGGACGCGATAACATTTATCATTTCATACATGATATATACAGTGCATGACGCGAACAAAATTATTTTTATCTTGGTATAATCACAATGGGGAAAATATGAATTAACTGATAATTATAAATCATATAAGATGTTATATAACACAAACATTTATCAACTGAATTCTTGAAACTGTTTAAACACCCAACTACTCACATGATTTAAAAGTCATGGCATCTTAGAACGTACATGAGGAAAATATAGAAACTGTGTAATGATCGATTCCATTGATAGACAAATATAAAGTAAAGAGATTGTCTGTCAGAAAAAAGCAATTGCGCCCTTTAATTATTCAGTTTAAATTGTATTTTTTTTGTCCTAAAAATTATTTATCTTGACGCAATATGCAGAATTGATAAAAAAAGGTATAAAATAGATGTAATGACCCAAAGTGACATTTTAGTACACGGAAAATTGAAGTTTTAAGTCATATACATGGTATGTAAATGATACTTCAGCCTCCGTGTCAATGGATGCAAACAAACAAAAGCGGTAATGGGTTGTTATATAGTTTTTCTACAATGAATAATTGGCTTAATGAAACTTATATAACAGTGAAAGTCTAGAGCTTTTACATACGTAATTATAAAAAGTGCTTTATTAATGAGTAAAAAAACAACAAACGAAATGTGAGACCAAATGTCCTATTGTTGCCCATATTCAGTTCATGATGAACTGGTAAAGTAATTGATGTTTTCAGGTTAAAATATCATTCACCGAGTCAGTAATTCAGATTGTACCATATTTTACCGACATATTTACAAAACACGTTGATTAATATACTTGGCCTTCAACAATTTATATTGGATACAGCAATTAATTGCCACATTATCATTTAAACAATTATGATGAAACAACAGCTTGCGATTATGAAGATTGCTTGCCCGCCTTTGCATTCCATTCTGTTTACCATTTCATTGCTTTCCCACCTTTGCTTTACTATCTGTTTGCCAAAATCGACCAAGATTTTAAATTCAAGTTCATATACATAATACATCGCAAAATTCAGGCATATTCTATTATATTTATTACACTTTGCAAAATTTAAGAGAATCATAACTAGTATTAGAACAAGTTGATGAAATAATTTGGGTCACCAAACTGCCTTTTGAGTTTTTGCCTAATAAAGTGAGATTTTTACTCTTTTAGGGTAGGTAACATAAAAATCAATTCATCAATTCCTTATTTTATTCTGAAGGCGTCTGGTAGGGTTACATATAGGCATATAGCAGAATTAAAACTACATAATAGCATTTATCTAAACTCCGCACGTTCTAAGAGTATATATGAACAAGCAAAAACCATCGATTTTGTTTTCGGTTATCTACCGAAATTTTGCTTGTGAATTTTCAGTAATATCACCTATATAGAGGATATTTGTTTTGTTCAGTGTAAGATCACAATATATTTCACCGAGTGAGCACCAAAAGGTATATTTCACGAGTGGCGCAGCCACGAGTGAAATATGAACTTTTGGTGTTCACGAGGTGAAATATATTTCGATCTTACATTAAACTAAACAAATTTTCTTTTTATTATATGCAAAGAAACGTTTAAAAAGACATTTTAACTTAGTACTAAATGAAAAGGGCGCCAAATAATAATACAACGTGACGTCATTTACGACGTCACGTCATTAAGTTGGTTTCCAGTACTGTGAACGCTTGTATTTCACTGAAACAACGTACTGGGCTCAAATATTCAAAACAGTGAAATTATCAAATCGATAATTTCACTGTTTCAAACAGTGAAATTACCAGTTTTTAACTCACTGATATATTTCTATAAACCACCGAAAAGCATGTAATAAATAAATTTATTTTTACAAAATCATCATATATACGTCTTCGAATGTTCACTATATACTTAACATATTTTTTTCACCGAAACCTCCACATTGAAAGTGTTTACATTTAATATGACAAAGAATAGACACGATTGTCTGCAATATGTGACAAGTTAATATCTAGTTCAACACTTGTGTAACCTTTGCTATGTTAATAGCCAGCATTCTTTAAACAATCTTTATAGTCATATATTACAGTTGTTAGTGTCACAACAAGACATAGAATCATCTGTTTGGTAATGAAACACGTGTTTAGATGTCAAGAAAATTATGATGATGGCATTAAAGTATTTATTAATCTAATCTAAAATGACAATTTACCTGTGGATTTGTCAGTTATTTCGTTTTACAATGATTTATTTCATTTCTAGACGCTGAGCAAAAAAAAAGCAACTTCTTTTAGCATATATACTTATTGGTTAGTGTTTGATATTCAGCAATCTGGCTCGGTGCATCTCCTGCTCTAATGGCTGAAATCGGTAAACATTTCGAGTATGATACACTCATAATATAATGGAATTATAATAATAATAATAATAATAATAATAATAATAATAATAATAATAATAATAATAATAATAATGATGATGATGATGATGATGATGATGATGATGATGATGATGATGATAATAATAATACAAAATGTAATAATAAAATAAAAGAATGGAAAGCAATGGAAGCAAGAAAAAATTACTTGTAAATCGCGGACCCGGTTTGATCGAGTCTGCTCATATGAATTATGGAAATGTGTATCATCCCTGCACCCCCCCCCCCAGCACCGGCTTTAGTGGTATTCATTCTTCAACACTTTAAGAAAATCAAAAACATCTATAAAGCTGTTGTATCCGCTGCAAACATTATTTTTCTGCTTTTGAAAAGTATTACTTCCGTAATGCTTGTATGAAAGAAATTATAATAAATAATTAATAAATAATAAAGTTAAAAGGGCATTAATAAATTATTGCTAAATGGATGAATCCGTGCATAATATTTTATTCTGGAACATTTTATTTTGTTTACAAATAATATTTATGTGATGGGCTTTTAAATAACAGAGACGTTTAATGTTACAACTCATTCAAGAATCGACCATAAGGTTATGGAAATAATATAGTTTTACTGTCACTAAATTTCATAAAAAATATTTCAAACGCCCTTTAATGTGCCGCAATCATCGATGTCGAAGGACCAGAAAAATATAGAATATACTAAAGCTGCCACACGGCACTTAAACCTTCTGCTGTAAAATATACCAAAATTGATGCCGCTTTAATTTATAAATTGTACAAACTAATTTGTAACATATAAAAGGCTCTCATTGGCCAAAATATGATTTCAACAATAGGACAGTGATATATGAAGTTCGCTTTCCTGGACGCGTACGTGACATCCACCACGGTACTATTGCCATTGACAATTTGATAAATTACACATATGACGTCGTTTAATGATTGAACGGCATTCTAATAATGATTGATTGAATAACTATGATTGCCCCACACTAAATATGTTACAATCATTTTGATACATTGTAAATAATCGTAACATTAACCTTGAAACCAAAATTGCCGTCATATCACGCCAATTTATGACGTCATGAAATCTATTCTAACCAAAATTCGCATTTTCTTTGTTCTCGATGGCTGGTCATGAAATATTTTACTACATTCAATGTCTTAACATAATAGACAAACCATGACTTTTGAAAAACATAAAAGCGCAATGTCACCTCACATTTTTACCTACCCGCAGAGAATATTGGAACGACCATGCGTTTATGTTCAAATTTATTGCTATAGTTACATATTGTTTTGTCATGTCAAGTGCGCAATGTTTTTTTCTAATACACAACAAAACGTGGAGCCTTACTAACTTTTATAATGACCTCATTATAAAAAAAATGCTGAATGAATATGCTGATATTATATTAATAATTTTTTGTCATACATAGCACTGCTATTTTTTTTTCTTTTGGACAACGGTTTGTAATTTTGACATGTTAAATCAGCCTAGCTGATGCATACGAGTAGGAGGGTTAATTTTTTTACTAACATATAGAATAAATTAAAAGTAATGATGTGAGACTATGATTGTTTCGAATAGCTTATAATTAAAAATCAACAACGAATTTTGAAGATGCACAACAAGGCTCTGTGTTTGACATGTTTCAATCGCAGTAATTTTTTACTTTTAATTGCGCAAAACTGCATCCATGAAAAAGGAATTTCGACAGTCTGATTATTGACCACATATTGCTCTAAGAGTCGTAGTTGTTCACGAAACGATGGCATCATATTTAGTAAGGATCTTGTATCGAATTTACAACGTCAATTTGTAAAGTATGTTTCGAGTCAAACAAAGGTGATGAGAACAAATTTGCATCATATTTTGAAATCTCACTGATTGGAATTTCTTTATGTTTCGGTTAAAGCATGGTGGAACTTAAATGTGCTAATTGCAATTTTGCAACACAATACTTTAACAAAGTACTTAATCACCGAGAAAACAACCACAATGACAAAAGATTACGAAATGAGTAAGTATAAATACTTAACCAGAAATGATCTTATAGAATAATAAAAAAATACTTATTTCCCCGTTTGTAGACATGTACTATTTTTAGTTAAGTTTACCCTTTTTGAAGATCTAATTCAAGAAAAGAAACTCGTGTAAAACGTACATCACAATAATTAAATATGACACCGACTTTGGCAGTTCTAAGCTGTATTTTTTCAGCTTCTACCTCGTTTTGATTTACAGTTACCATTAGCTTACTTTCAAGTCATTATTCAGGAACGACGATTCAAATTATGGTCAAGCTAAAATCACCAACAAAGATCTCAAAATTACATATAGATATACTTTTATCATCAAACAGATCACTGGTCAACTTTTGCTAAATATGATACAAACTATAGCTCAATTTAAAAGCATTTTTCTCATATAAAAACATTCTCCAGCGCAATAAACTTTTTGAAACTGTACAGATATTTTTGGCAATTCCTAGACGAAGACTCGAGTTCACTGCCTTTTGTAATAACATTAACTACTTTACCCAATACATGTACTTGCAATAAAAGCGTAATATTAAAAACGGACCAATTTTTTATTATTCTTTTAATTATTCCATTCCATAAATATAACCATATCAACAAATCAACATTGAAATTCTTATTTTTCAACGCCATTAAGAGAATTATCTACAATTATTAACTCACTAGTATTACGGATTTATTAATATAAATTTATTAATATGATATTGGAATAATGACTGTTTTTATTGACTTTGCTGTTGTAACTGTCCATTCCCCCTCCCTAGCACCGGCAACAAACATACTGGTGAGAATGAAGTCTAATGTAGTATAATTGTCATTTTAAGATGTGTACATATGACGATGGCAATAAAACTTTGCATGAAGCAATTTTAAGATAATTATTCTTATGCGACGTTAGGTCTTGAAAGACGTGGTCTACAGTTAAATTTCTTTTTTTTCTTTTTTCTTTTTCTTTTTTTGGAGGGGGGGGGGGGGTATAAATTGGTTAAGTGTTTATGAAGCTTCGTCTTCGTCTTCGTGGGCTATATATGCAATTCGATATATAAAATACTAGTAAAACACTTATATGTACTTCATAACTTTATTCTAAATGATATGACATAATTAATAGGTACGATAAATAACATGATACAAGATGCTGTATTACTGTAAACAAGGACAGTCTGTAATAAAGTCAATGTACTATATCACAGCAGATTTCATTTATTACATTTCTTACAACACCGGTTGGATTTCACGACATAAGATGCATAAAAGTCATCAATTATCATTTACAAACAAATTCAAACATTTAAACAATCAAAACAACCATGTACGATTGTTGTCAGGAAGTGTGTTATATACGTGACGTCAATTATTGCATGTACGTCATCAAAACATAACATCATAAACACACGAATTAAGGCTTTTTCTTTGGTGGGACTTTGTTTACTTTGATGGGAAATATATCCTTAAACATTCGACCCTTGCCATTAAAGTGGTCCTTTGTTAGTGTCATATATTCCCAATGGTCCTCGCGAAACACTTCTTTAAGACAGACACAGCCCTCGTTATGATCGCCTACTCCATAGTGACAGGAACCACCTTGCTATAAATAGAAAGAAAAATGTTCAATGAATATATTTTATGAAAGACTAACCGGAAGCAAGCAACAGCAAAAAACAGGTGAGTTTATATTTCCCGATTCCTTAAACAAATTAGTAAAACAAAGTGCAATCAAAAGTCCTCTAAACTGTGTGTCATACATCTTTTCTTTTTAAAACCTATTCATAGTTCCTTTCTTGTTTGGCGACAACTGTCAAAGTATGATTTTCAACTCTCTAAGTCACAAATTTATACATACAAATATACAAAAATGTTTAGTTTAGTGTAAACATCCAAGAATATTTTACACTTATTTTCTACCCCCAAAAAGACAGAATTACTTATTTCCCCTTCACCCTAACCACTTAATAAAGATAATATTTGGCGGCAATATTTAGCAAACCAACTAGACATACCAAAAGACTTTCAAAGAACGTCAAGCTTCAATATTGGTCAAATGCATCAGTATATAATTGGTATTGTAGTAATATAACATTGCAAAAATGGTTTCTACCAATTTCCCGCCAAATCTTACACTAATATACTTACAAGTTTACACTCCTCGTTGTTATCCAAACATTTTTCAAAATCAAACATCAAGTCAGAGTAAAACCAGTTAGTCGAGCAGAGACCGTACATTGCCTCGGATAGATTTATCATGGCCATCACACACACCGAGCCGATCACAAGGTCTCGAACTAAATACCGCATGCTGGATTGTTAGATGACCTGCAGGTATACAAAACAAAATCATGCAATTAAATCAGTGATTAATATATGATGTTTGGTGCTTTCGATTAGCTACATTCACAACAATGCACATTAGAAATCGTTTGGATATTCTTATAAAATATTACTTGAAAAAAAATGTTGAAAAAGTTTAAATTGATTTAGTATGAAAATTTATATGATGAAATTTTGTTCCATCTGATCTATTCATACATGTATATGTAATACCGGATCATGTATCTCACACTTAACAATAACATCTACATTGTATATAAACTTATATATTACTCCTTTTTTTGGTTTGTTGTTATATCTTACTTATACTAAAAACAAAAAAATGTTTAGAATTGTCTTTCATCTTAATTTTATCCTATTATTCCGTTACCTCAAATTACAAAGTTGTATACCTTGAGTACAGGTATTTTTACTTAAAGAAGCAGTTGTTTGTAGAAAATCAGTAAATAAATAAATAAATAAATAAATAAATAAATAAATAAATAAATAAATAAATAAATAAATAAATAAATAAATAAACAAACAAATAAATAAATACAAATGAATAAAAAAAACATTAATTCGTTAAGTTTTTTTTCATTTAAAACAATATAACACAAATTATGACAATTACCTGATTATATTCTCAAGATATTTTCCCGAACCTCTGTTTTTTCAGTATGCGATAAAATTCTGTTGTTATACTGTTAACAGTACTATTCTATCAAAGTTAAGCAGCGAAAATGACATCGTGAGGGTAACAAACGGTATTTATATACACAGCGGATAAAACGTCACGCTCGTGTGCGTAACGTGACATGAATTAACCAGCTCGTTAACGTTGTCTTTACGTGCGTTGCTAACTTGTTAATCGTTGCCTTTAATACGTACATTAAAATAAATTTTTAATGAGCCATTATTCAGACAGTTTTAGTATTATTGTTTACCGAATTGGCATGGAATGTCTTGCACATATTACAGATACCAATTTCATACAAAAATAATGTATGTGCATAATTTTTGTTTTTATTTTTCACGTAAAATGGGTTCATTCAACGAGGGTGACGTTATTCCAATGACCTGTGTAATGTAAATAATGTCGTCTTTATATACGAACAATAAGAAAACTGTTATTTTCACAAACATGTTTATGCTTTTATTAAAATTACGTGGTAACGTTATTCAAATTTTATAATTGATTATATCTTAAGAAAAGCTGTAGTTTAATCTAACAAGTGCGAATATTGGAATACGTTCAAATCTAAAACGACAGTCAATAATATCGTTACTAAAACATACTTGTACATAATGTACCTACTATATCAAGAAAATACTTGATAAAGTTTTAACATATTTATTTTAGGACGATTGTGATGATGGTTTGTAGTTGATTTGAACCATTCTTAAGACCGATTCTTGTAATTAGCCAGTACTGATGCTATATTATGTTTGAGTGTGAACAAAGTAGGGCTCGAACCCATTATCCCTAGATAGAGAGGTAGACACATTAACCACTGGTCAACTACTCGCATAAAATGACCATTAAAATCAAGCCGGAATGTTGTCTTCTGTTCTAAAATGTATTGGTATGACGATAAAGTCAAATAGGAGGAAATAAAAATAATACAACAGTCAATTTATGAATTCACTTGAAAACGAGGCTTGTTTACAAACTTTTGAATGGCACAAATAAAGACAGTACATGGAAAAACAAAAACTGACAAGTGGTAAAATATGTTAATGAGAGAGCTGACGTGTGATATTTATACAATTTTACTTTTTTAATAAACCTTTGAAAATTGACAGACGCCATTGTTTATTTGTACTTTACAATGGCACAACGTCAATAATTTAATAGGTGAATATTTCCTTTTTGACATTCATGAAACAATGGCAAAAAAGCATTTGATACACTTCTAAATTATAAACAATGCGGTTTGTTATGTAAAAAATTGAATGCTAATTTGAAATTAAAGCGTTGATCAAAGCAAACTTTGTACTTAACATTTGTTCTCTGTTGCTCGTATTGCATTTTATATCGTTTACGCCAAAGAAAAATCCTAAAGGATATTAACAAAAGTGCAAAACAACATGTTTTGCACATTATGTGGCATTTATGTACATCCCTTATTCATGATTTTATTTTTTTATTATTTTCCTTATTCTAATGTATAACAACAACGAGATTGACGTTCGCTAATTTGATATGGTATATAAGAAAAAGAGGCCACTCAGAACCTTCAACGATTTGCCCAAACCATTTTCCATTCAATCAAACAAGATCCTAGTAATGACTTTGCTAACAAAAGAAAAAAGAAAATACTGAATGATATTATAATGATATCTAACATTGTCCAATCATACAAATTTAAAAATGCTGAGGACTTGGTTTATTAAGGTTTTTTCAGGGACGTCAGAGTGAAAATTATCGCCAATGCCCTATAGCACCGCTTTAAACTTGGTATACAACTGTTTGTCGCTTGAGGCTCCTTATTTAATTTAGGTTACACGCAGTCTGTTGCCAATTATTAACTTCAACTCTCTGTGTCACCATGCAATGATTGTGTATCTATTTACTTGTTGTGCATACTGATAAATCCCTCGCATTTTATACACATACATATATATTATACATGTATATGGTATATAATTGACGGACGCAATTATTTTTACAGTTACGATATAGCCGTTGAAAAGATGTAAAGTGACTCCAATATGATAATGGCCCAGTGTCATTTTCTTTTAAAGAAAATTGATTCCTCGATTATAATATCATGACTTTAAAATTTAAATTATTTTAAAATCCCAAACGAATAAGGATTGTGACATCCGTAACAATAACCATCCTAGAAGAAGTAAAGTAACGTTTCACGAAAAAGAACGCGTTGGTGGCCCAAACTGACTCACTATAATGCATGTTAAATCTGTAAAATAAGACAAAAGAGACACCTTGCATATCACAGCATTTTAGTTTCGTTTTCTTTTCCTCCTTACTTCGTAAGAGAGAGATAGATGTTACAAATCCAAATTTTTGTTAGAGGGTTTTAATTACATGCACATGTACATACAGAAATCACCATAATCAAATTAAAATTTTGGTAAAATTATGACATGAAGTTTTGCCAGCAAGTAATCATAAAATGGGTCACTTTTTCGTTATAATATTGACCAAGCTCAGTCTTCTACATGGCGTTTTCCCTCCGTTACACCGTCTCTTGTTAAACGTCGAGAAGAATAGATTCCGATCTGTTTCCAAATTGTTTTATGCAGTTTATACTACAGCGCATGCTACAAAAGGACCAAATAAATGTATCTATGTCTTTTTGTTTCTTTTTCTCTTAATATAACGTTGAACCATTAATGACAGTTGATGTAGAGTATGTTAATAAAGAAGTTTTTACTGACTTGTATGATGTATTTCTATTGTTACATCTGTTTAAATGATATGTCAGCATTGATTTGAAAATGTTACAATTAATTACGCTTAATGGGTTAATTTACGTCATCATTCAAGCGGGACAATACAATTTACGTTAACGTGAACATCAGTGTAATTGACAAACTATGTAGACTACAAGCCAGTACATTAACGTATACATTTCATATCATCAACAAAAAGAAAGTGGTATAAGTATCATAACACGAAATAAAGTTTCCCCAAAAAGAGAGAAAAAGATGCATCTCATACTTTAAAGGGAAACAATTCATACGGACTTGTCTTGAGTGAGTACCTGAGTAGAGAAAGCTGCCTCACATGAAAACTGCCCTAGTCCTTTTCGTGGCTAAAACCGATGAGGGCGTATGATCAGACAAATTGTGTGTAAATCGTATTGTATGTACATCGTAATGAGCGATAATCATATTAAATGTATATCGTATTGTGTGCATATCGTAAAGTGTATATCGATGAGTGGGTATGATCAGAGATATTGTCTGTAAATCTACTTGTGTGTATATTGTATTGGGTGTTTATCGTATCGTATGTACATCGTATTGAGTGTGTATCTATTGAGTTTATATCGTATTGAGTGTATATCGTATATTCAGCGTATATCGTATTATGTATATCGAAGTGTGTGTGTATCGTATTTAATATTGTGTGCATGTCGTTTTGTTTATATTTTGTTCAGTTTACAGTATACACACAATACATGTTTCTAGTACATTGTACATCGTTTTTTATGTATATCAGTTTTTAGTGTATATCATAATGCATGTTTATCGTGCTGCGCATATAAGTGCCCGGGTATAAATCGCAATCGTTGTGTCTGGGAGGTGGGGGGGGTTATCTAACGGGACAGGCAACTTAAGATGAGCTTTCGTCCAATCAAAAGTACGCGCGCTGCCATTGTGTCATGTTGATCGTTGTGAAATGGTATTTTTGTTTGAAGTAAACGGTGTAAATAATAGAAATATTAGCCAGCTGGCATAAGATTGACATTGTATTTAAATGGCCTTCACATAATGTCATGAAAAGTTGTCTATTCCTTTCTTATATTTTTAATTTATTAAATTATAAGATTTAATTTAACACACGGACAATTTGATACTAACATAAGACCGCTTATCTTGTTGTAAGTCGATTGTCCCGTTATAAAATGTCCCAGGTTGGCTCAGATTTATTGTCATCCATTGATTCAGTTTTAAGTTTATATTTTTTTATTTTAACAATTTGCGTAATTGAATGCTAAACACTACCATTAATTAAATATCTTAATGAAATAAATACACGTCTTAAACGTCGAAATACTGTGGGAAACCTTTATTTTTTTGTAAATATTTCTTTTTTCTTCTTTTTTATGTTTAACTGATAACTTATAATTTCGTTATTACTCTTGCAAGGTATATACAGTTACATTTAATTACAACATACGCAGTTATTGCCAAGCTCGCAAAGGTGAACCATATGGTTTAAGTTACGTTAAACATATCCCTTAACAATGGGATACAAGAAGATGACAATGTCAGTATGAAAGAAGTGCTAGAGCATGTTTTAAATTTTGAACTGTAAATGTCATAAATATCCCTTAAGTCGAATTCGTCTATCTCGTACAAAACAATATCATATTTACAATGTAAGTGATATATGTCTCCATATCGTCTGTTCGTATTAACCGATCCTATACATATTAAAGGTACGTAGGCTTAAGTATAAGCTGATTCGAAATATCCGAAAAAATAAAGCAGGGTAAGTCAAATTTAATTGTTTATGTAATAGCCGAACGATGTCATCTGAATTCTATATAGCACTTGTTACATATATTTCCAAGTTCTGTAGAATATATATAAAATATCTCATGGGGTCTTTTGCAATTAACTTATTTTCATAAATTAGCATCTTTCCTGTCCCGTATCTATGCTTTATTTTAATTCCAAAAGTTTATTTTCTCATGTGTAACATAGACTATATTAAGTTCCATAGCTTTATTGGTTTCTTTTCTTTGGTAGTTCTACTAATCACAAATCTGTTTCAAGCCGTAACAAAAAATAATTAATGTTAAGTATTATTTTCAGAAGAAAAAACGATGTTAAAATAAATATCAGTGTGCGATAAAGATCAAAACTATAAAAAAACTATAATAAGCGGTTTCATCAGTTAAGAAGTAGTAAATATGATACACATACTGTATGTCAATTTTGCACACAAAAAAATAAATAAATAAACAGATAAAATAAAATAAAATAAAAAAATAAAAAAACATGTCTTAAATATATTTACCGACAAGGTAATCTGAAATCCAGCAAACCTAATATAAATAGAATTATGCAGAATTAAAGATAATTTTCAAAAATCAGACCGACAGATTACGTTTTTAAAATGAAACCAATATTTTTGAAAATATATACATGTAACAAAATTCACTGAGGATAAGGGACGTAACAAGAAGTTGAGGAAATAAGGGAGGTAATGAGAAACAACAGAAATTGAACAACATGGTGAACAATTCCATTGACGTAGGCTGTAACAACAGTGGAACTAAAACAGTCTATAACGAGATGGAAATGACAGAATGTGAGAAAGTTTTTTAGTATCATCTGGATACATGTATATGTTTTCCATTTTAACATAAATAAAATCTTTTGTAATTTTACAAAGTTATTACATGTAACACATAAATTCCATTTTAAAATAGAAAACATCATTTGGAACTATACAACAGTATTACTGTCCATAAGATTGGAAAAGAAAAATCGAAATATTAATCGAAAATATTGTAGTAAGCACCTTTAGAAAATGTATTCAAATTTTGAAGCAGGGCAAAATATATGAACATCGCTCCAAATCATCTGAACATCACTTCCTAAATCCCTACCAATGGTGCAAATAGTGTGGCTTGTAGTGGTAACTGTGTTCTCATGACTTTGGCTCAGTATAAATTGGAAACAGAGAACTTCTTACGTGAGTATATTTCTTTCTTAAGAGTTTTAAAGCTCTCATTTCATAATCACATATATTTATAATCTAATATCTTGAACGCAATATTTGTTAGTTTAAAAGCAGATGTAGTATTTAGCCAATGACGTTGCACGACGGTGGAACCCCATATGGATCTCAAAATTGAGCGTTACATTTTCGCTGATCCAGATGTGCACTATCATATGTGAACGTGAAATAGGTCAATCAAGGGATAAATTTTCAACAAATTTAAACATTTATGTAAAATTCAAAGCCTTTTATATGAAAATCGGAATGTAAATTACTAAATATACACTCTTGACTTTTTTCCATGTATACCTAATTTGGTTTGGATTTTTATAGAGTCTTCTCGAGGTATTCTTTCCGTCGTGGGTTCTGGTGTGTCCAATATATACAATGTTTATGAAGAAAAGTTTCTTACGAAATCTTATCACCGAACAATGCTAAACATACAAACACACTCTTACTAAAACATTTATTGTGACTTGGCTCAAAAAAAGAAAATCGCCGATCAAAATTCAAGTCGAGCTTCGTATGTGCTGAAGAGATCCATTGGTGATATAGAAGACTACTGATCAATTTCATATAAACATTGAATAGCAATCTAGAAGAACCGATAAGGTTTCGTAAATTTGACTGCAAGGCCATTATTAAATTCAATATGTTTGAAAATTATATAAATTAATAAAACTACATCAATAGGCTTACTATCTGATACTGCCTAAAGAAATAATAAAAAATACTGTATATCGAGGCAGTACTCCTTATGGGAATTTTTAAATCCGCGAGATTTTATGTCGATTTTCGTATAAAATGTCGCGGCTTATAGAAACTCTCTAGTTTTTCTTTCACACTTATGTCGTACAAAGTCGAGTTTTACGAGGGAAACCGCGACATTTTCTACAAAGCCACACAAACATAGTACCTACTTTAGGTAGCCAATTGCGGCCATTATATAATCCGCGATATTTTGTTTTGATGTATACCTTGTAAAAAGTTGAGTCTAAGCATCAAGACTCGACTTTTTTGCCGGTGTTACATTAATCATTGACCCCCCATGTTTGTAGTAAAGAAACACTTAGAAGAACCAGAATCTTCACAGGGCCCCTGTGACGTCATAAAAATGATTTCACAATCATAATATGGCCAGGCCTGGGCCAAGGCTAAAAAAGACAGTATACGAGGATGCTCGTAATCTGTATGTTGAAGAGGGAACATTGTTGCAAAAGTTTAAGACAATAATTTCCATCACATGGCTATATGTGGTCTGAGTCCTACATGCACAGAAGATTTATCTTTTTTTTCTCAGTGGTACTGGTCATTTAACGGACAACTATAATTAACAGCCATGCTTTTTAGAAATATTCCCTTAACATTGTGTTTAGAAGGACAACATGCTTCAAATATATAGTGTGTATAAATAAATCGATCTATATCCATAAATACATTTATATTAATATCTTCCCGAGCTGTAAAGCCGATTTTACATTGCCACAATCGGTATGTTTAAAGTAATAAAATTTGTACACTTTAATTTATGACTTGTTTTTTTAATGCTACTCAACATTTATATTTAACCCTTAATACATGTACATAATAAGTGGTGTCTTAGCTCAAATCAGCAAATATTTTACGTATATTTCTGTACTGATCAGGGGAAGTAACTGTTGCTGAGATACAAAACACTTTTCGCAGCGGTTACTGCACCTGATCAATACAGAAGAGGTGATGAACGAATTACAAAACATGTTATGAGATAAATGAAAATCCATTACTTAATTTTCTTACTAAGAGCAGCAGACTTTCCCTACCCTTTACACATATGGTGTTATGGTGCACATCTGGATCAAAGGAAATTCACATATATTTTTACCGGTGCTCAATTTTGAGATCCATGTGCGGTTCCATCCCCGTGACTTGGCAGTTGGGTAAATTTAAACTTCTAACACATTATTAAGTTTTGTGAATCGTTTACAATATGCATGGTTTTAAAAGTTTTATTGGTGAAAATATAATAAAACATGTCTGTTCTTTGTGCGTCTTGTGTAAACAAAAACTAAAGAATAAAGAAAAGATATCATAGGTTTTATTGGTATTTATAGTGTACAAATTCAATAATGCTCAAATGAAGAACAATATTAGAAGTTTCAGAATAGATATGGTCAAATATGAAATAAAGGAAGGTACATGTAATTAGAAGAAAATACTACTAATTAATGTTTTTATGTTCTTCTATGGAATAAAATAATTATGTTTTACTTAAAAATAAAATTATGATCAGTTATAAACTAACAATCTGTCATATAATGACAACATTTTTGTATGTTCATAAGTAAATATTTAATTGTATGGGGCCTGTACATGTAAATAATTTACCAAAGTTAACATAATTTACGACGTATCGCAAAGAAATGTAAATTGTATGAAATTCATGTAGACAAAACATGTCATATCTGTATATGTATATTTACTTATTTATTAACTTAAATTATATAATTTATTATGTTTTTTAATTTAAATTATATCGCAGCTTTTTTCTTCATTAGTTTCGGGGTAAACCAAATCTCTCGTCCACACTATCTTGTATGTTTCATCCCTACTTAATATTGCCGTTCACATTTACTTATACTGCAGAAATTCAAGAAGACTATCTACTAAATTGGGACATGGATGGATATTTTGTTGACTTGACGAGGCGAATAGAAAAACTTCGAAATGGAGATCTGCCGTCAGGAATGCTGCAAGAACTAAAGTCTCGTGCACTTTGGCGCGCAGTTTTCGCGGAATTTATAGCAACTATGGTGTTTCTATTTATAGCAACAATGGCGGCTGTACCTCTTTTACCGGTTGAAGGGACGGAGGCTACCATTGTCAAGGTACAAAAAAGCATATATGAGCCGCGTCACGACAAAACCAACGTAATGTGTTTGTGACCAGCATGTATCCAGACCAGCCTGCACATCCGCGCAGTCTGATCAGGATCCATGCTGTTCGCTTACAAACTCTATAACAAGTAGAGAAACTGATAGCGAACAGCATGGATCCTGATCAGACTGCGCGGATGCGCAGGCTGGTTTGGATCCATGCTGGTCACAAACACATTATGTTGGTTTTGTCGTGACGCCGCTCATATCATACTTAAAGTGTATAAATCTATATATCTGCTGTCTATAGTCTATAGATGATTGTATGAATTATTTTGTAAAATAATTACTTCCAAAACACCTGTATGAATTATAGACATGTTTGTATATATCTTAACAGCAAATGGCGTATGCATGAAATCATTGAAAAACTATCTTAATAACAGCATAATGTATTGTTTCTCAACATATTTTTATGTTTTTATATAATATTCATGTGTGCAATATAACAGAAACATTCTACGTCACATCATGATGATAGGGGGAAAAACATAATTTTACCTTTTATAATTTTCTTAAAATATTTCATTAAATAATTAAAGCTTTATACCCTTTAATAAAGAAATCACACCCTTTAATGGAAGGTAGTCAATCACAATCATAAATATTTTCTATTTTTAGAATGCATTGGCATCGGGACTTATGATAGCTATATGTATACAAATGTTTGGTCACGTGTCCGGCGCGTTTATGAATCCTGCAGTTACAATATCGTTTGCTGTTGGTCAGACGATAAGTCCTCTACGCGCGCTCTTCTACGTCATGGCCCAATGCACTGGTGGTTCTCTGGGAGTCTTAATTTTAAAAGGGTAAGAGGTATTGAAGTCATGACAAGTTGATACAGGGTAGAGAGAAAACCTGATACATACATCTCAAGCCAAATTTTCCCCGTGGGAAAAGTTTCACTCTAAAAAAATGCAATAACTAGTAATTATTGGTCACTAAATATCGCTAGAATTAATATAATCATGCAAGTTGCATTTCCACGAGTCCGCACGTCACAACACGAGCAAAGTTGTGGAATCTGGATATTTGTAAAATGTCAGTCTGTTTGTTTGTTATTTTTTCCATAAGAAAACTTATAGGTTATTAGATATATTTGTGATTTACTATACTTCAATCTTTATAGTGTAACGCCAAGCGAGCTTCATGGGAATCTTGGAATGAACATGGTCAACACGAGGATCAGTGCTGTACAGGGGTTTGCATGTGAGGTTGTGTTCACTTTCATTCTTGTAATATCCATATATGGCTGCATTGACTCCAACCGGACATTTTTTGGAAGCGAGGCTGTTGGCATTGGATTCACTATTGCTGGCATAAATTTAGCTGGGGTAATGCTTAAAGTTTATGCATTTTCTTGCACACCTTCCTACTATTTTTCATTATTACGTTCGTTTCGAAAGACTTTCCATACCATTGTACAATAACAGTTTCACTGTGTACCTCTGTGAAAGTAACGCAGGAATTGTGTAGTAGATTACTTAGCGTTGCTCGCTATGGTCATGATTATTTTGAACAGATTCGGCGCTCTTACATTTTATTCAAAATTTATAGGTCACCATTTGACAATTTAATACTATTTAAGGACATGATTGGTGACTTATCCGTGGTCCGTACTCTCTGTGCCTGGAAGGGCGGATGGACCTTTATTAAGCTTAGAACTCTCACACACCTATAGGTTATTTTCAAATTCAAGCGTTATACACGACGAGTATGTTCGAATTTAAAGCATCATATATTTTCACTCAAAGAAAGAAAGAAGAGAGAATATGTTAAAGTTTTAAACGTTTTTCTATTATTCTCATTTTGATGTGTAAAAGTTTTTTTGTAGTTTTATTTCTTCAGAAAATAAATAAATAAATAAATAAATAAATACAGTCATTTCAGGCCACAAGTTCCTTTATTTTTTGTTTTACTTATAATGATTGAAGTGTGCTCGAAATGACCCTAATGTTGCGATATACTTTTGTTTCTGTTGTAGATACCTTTCACGGGAGCAAGTATGAATCCGGCGCGGTCATTTTGTGCAGCGTTCATTTCAAATTCGTTCGACAATCTCTGGGTATGGCATTATTTACTTGATTAATTACACAATGCTTTCGATGTATCAATTTGGAACTGTTTATTGCTTTTTTATGAAATTTACCACCGAATACAGGTTGTTTTTTTTTCTAACAAAAATGATGAAAACTTCTATGAAAAGAAAAACTGCTATAGTACTCCAAGAATCGATTAAAATGATTATTGCAATGGTTGTAAGTAAATTTCTGCATTAATGTGCTGTCATTATATTCTTTATCGTTAATTCAACATCAAACATCATGTTCGCTGTGGTTACCACATATCTAGTACCATTCTAGTGTCGGAACATGATATTCAATGGTTGAAAATATACATTTATTTACATGTACATTATTAATGCAAGAAATATGACATGCTATTAAACAGTAAATAAATGATCTTTAAACCAAGAAGACAAGAAGCGAAAAATTATCACCAACCTTAGCCCAGGTGAGCTTATTTGCCAAAAGGTTTAGGAACGCTCTGTTACAATAAAATTGTCACTCATTCTACTGTTGTTTTTATGTACATTTTCTGCGTTCCGGTAGTTACATGTTCACAATTTTGTATTTTATGTCACATGTTCTTATGAACCATGACAGTATTGAATAAACCTTGAAAATCTTGTCTCCAAGTAAGTATGCCGGACATACAAAAAGTCATGTATTTCTATACACTGTTCCCATTCTTATATAGTATATACTGACATTGTCATAGCAGCAACCGCTTCTAATGATCAAGTTTTCTGAATAAAAAAACCCGATTTTAGTACCACATTAGGCAAAGTCCAATTACTGTTATGGTGTCTAAATTCTTCAGTGGTCTTATTCTTTTATTTGTGTAGGTATACTGGGCTGGTCCGATCCTCGGAGGGAGCATTGGCGCTCTGGCATACAAATATGTGTTCAATCCATACAAAAATATAATGACATACACAGACGCCGCCAGAAAACTGAGTAAGGCATTTGATACAGCTTTTTCTATACTTAAGGCTTATATTCGAAATTTATGAAATATAAATCTTAATTGAATTGTTACAAAGATGAATAAGTCGTATGTTTAAGTATAAAGAAATCTGTTTTTATGTTTTGTTCTTAAATCTTTCTTCCGTAACAAGGGGGAAATGTTTTTTGTTTTTTTTTTAATTAATTCCTTGTTTTATGTTCACTTTCTCAAACTTTGATAAAATGAAGAACATAAACAAATTTATAATTCTTAAAAGAATAATGTATATCATCTTCATTAGCTCGAACCAGCACGTGGGACAAAATTAATGTGCGCAGTCAAAACCATCAGGGTGATAGACCAATGCATTATCAATTGATGGATAAATATATAAAATTTCCCAGCATTAATGACAAGTCACATCTAAATGTATACTGACTTACCCAATCACTCACTTTTTAACCATCTATACAAGTCTCTATTTTCTTTCAGTGAGTGGAAAAGAAATGGTTACATTTCCGATACATGACTTGGTGACCACCACAGAAGATAATGGCTGCATCAAGATTGCAGTGTCTAATAACAATAGAACAGAACTGTAATACCTATGCAAATCCTTCTTTAATCATTAATTAATATACAATGTACATATCCTAGTACTCAAGGCCACAGTATCTTCATAGTGTTGTTAATGGAAACAGTTGGCCAATTCTTTTGTTCATGTTTTGTTGTATGGAGGACCATGATCAACGTTACGGAATGAAGTTTATTGGTTTCTTTTTGGTTCTGTTTACAGTTAATTACGACAATCGATTACTTTTTACTTTTGCAACGTGTAACGTATAGAAAAGAGGAAACAAGGTAAAATATTAGACAACTGCTGTGCTCAAACCTACATCTTCTGTAATGCAAGATCTGTGCATTTTCCGCTGACCCATCAATACAAATTTAATTGTTTGTCTACCGAAGTATAACTGGTTATGCATTTACTCTAGATTAATTAAGGTAAAGTACACTCACGTGACTGATACGATGTGAGATTTATAATACATGTACAGTTAGTCTATATTTGAGATTTATAATTCAGTTAGTTTAATAATGTATGCATAATATTGACATGTCAATTAAATAAAAACAAATGTTCTAAAATACATGAAGCCTATAAACCTATATCTATTGAAATATTTTTATTATAAAATTTATAAACAGTACCTTATATGTATCTTATGGTAGAACGTTGAAAGAGAATGAGTTGAGAGATACAATGTATCTCAAATTTAACTGGCATAAATATTGTACATTTACAGAATAAAATGTTCCAAACAAAATATTATTGTGCTATTTTAAGTAGGATTTTTGCCATGCATCATTCGCTCTAATGAAAAATATATGTACAATCATACTTCTTTTATATAGGTATTTAAGGACTTGTCTTTTTTCAACATTCAAACAATATTTTGTTAACTAAGGGCATTTTAACACCAACTGCCTATCATTCATTATAACAAAAATTCCAGCAATAAATCTTTTATTTTGTTTATCTTACTAATAAAAAACAATAAATATTTACAACAACATATAATTGTTTAGATCAATTAATCCTTACCGCCCTAAAAATCTTAAATGGACAAGTTCAGCTTTTAATATGGACAAAACCATTCATCATCTTTCGGGGATTATAATTATAAAAAGATAATGCAGATCTACAGACTAATAGTGGACAGTGATCAGAAGGCATAGCTGTGGCAGCAGATCATGGTCTACACTGGTCACGTGGGTATATTTGGTTGTCGCAAACGGGCTAAAGATTAAAACACTAATATTTCACAAAGTCATGGTATTCCTTCATCTCTACAAAAAGTTAAAGAACACAAATATTTTACTACACATATCTATATTATCTGTTTGAGATTATAAAGTTTATACATGTAATATCAAATTATAACAATTTGTTACTTTCATATTGATATATTTATCACAGAATTTTTTACACACACAAAAATATTTATATAATTTGTGTTACAATTCAATATATATGTAGTATGTGAATTAAAAGTGAAAACAAACAGGTTATATTATTATTAGCAGCAGTAAACTCATCTAAAGGTACATGATCGATAATGAGCTGTACTGTGTCACAGCTGCAGAATAAAATATCTTGTAAAAAAAATACATGTATCTCTGATAAAGAAATGTGTTGGTGGTGTTGGTAGTTTACCCTTGGTATCATGGCAGTAAGCCACATTGAATATACCAGAGCACAGTTTGGTCACTGCATAGTTTTGGGTAGGCTATCAAGCAGTCTAACAGTACTAGTTGCCTTTACTTTCGAAAGGAATTGTTAACTTCTGTACATGCCAGAGCAGAGGTACAGTGTGAAAAGCTGAAGGAAGGATTTCATGATCAATCACAACAAAAGAGACCTGCACTGTCTGGGAATAGTACCATGAATTACAGTCCAACCCTCTGCTTATTGAGTTAACTGGACCGTTGATTAAGAATGGTTAAATTCTAAATGTAAACGTACTCATTGTAGTACATGAACTGCAATTTTGAATATTTTTAACCCTTAATATGCTGAATTTGTATAATGGATATGCCCTGTTTTGAATTTGGAACAGTCCATTCTAAATTAAAGGGTTTAAATATTAAAATACAAAGATTAAGCTACAAACAGCCTGGTAGCAAAGGCTGATCCCTTTCGTTTTTAGCGGGGTAAAGGTTAAAATAACATTACAATATAGATAAAATTGACAAATAAAAATCAATTTCTTCAAATATAATCAGGTACATAATTTGATCACGATATTGCAGAAAAAAGCATACTAATTTCAACACAATGGTATTTGGTAATATCACAGATTTAAATTGATCATTAAAGTCTGTGGTAATATCAGTGTTGTAAAAGATATCAAAAAAATATTTTATGTGATTAAAAAAATTGGTTTTACTGGCTATGATTTTGAAAAACAACAAAATAAAATCTCCACTTTGAAATATGGAGAATTAAGAATTTAACTCATTATCTTTCTCTTTTTTTACAAACAAAATAGGTACAAATCAAATATCTGAGAACTTCATCTGATTTAAGGAATTAAATATCCATTATACATCTATACTTTTACTACAATCTTAGACAATATTCAATTTTATACTGCTAAAGCACCTTTACAAACTAAATGTAAAACACCAAAACAAAAAGTGTGAAAAAATACAGTAATACTAAAATCATAATTAAATATAAAATATTAAAAAAAAAATTGTGAATGTTTTCATAACACACATGATATATTGATAAAAAGTGAAAATCTCAAGTTTTGGATAAGCTTATTTAAATACATACTTTGCACCTCTTATAATAATTAAAAATATTTTTATTGCAGAAATTTATTGAAATTTAGGAAATTCTTATTGAATTTGACTGACTTATATAAGAAAATGCACAACATATGTTTTGGAAGCTGAATTCTCTATAACTGGTCAAGTTTAGTTAGCTCTTTCTTAAAGATTAAAACGACCAGCTTTTTAATGACACTATCTAATACATATAGTGTGTAGGGTTTAAAACATTATCATATCTTCTCTGTGTATACTCAAAAGATGTTTATTTTACAGGTCACATGCATTAACAAAGCAGAAATACATATTATATTTAATTAATTTCTTATCTAATTTAAAACACCTTTCCCTCAAGCTAAAATATGCTATAGCCATGATGTTCTCTTTTAAATTAGAGTTTTTCATTTGTTAGAGAGATTTCACTATTTAATGTACACTTATCTGTAACAGCTTTGTCACACTAAGATCACATCTACAAATCATAGGAGATTAGCTCTACACTGTGTACATAACCAGGTCAATATAACTTCTAACACTGAACTTTTATAATTGAAATCTTACAGTAAGAAAAAAACCATAACAAAACATTATTTACATTTTACATGTATAAATAAACATTTAACAACATCAAAGATGACGGACATCTGTTTCTTTCAAAAAGACTCGGATTTACCACAAAACAAAGATTAAGAAACAAGTTACACAGAATCCTGAGAGAATATTTATGAATTTTACTGTTAATAAACCTTTAATCAACTTTCTAAATTTATAAAACTGACTGGCCCTGTTTGAATTTTTATCCTGACCCTATTACTAAGGTACATGTACATTGGTATCAAAATGCTTATATTATTATAATACAAATGTACATGTATAAGTCAAAAGTACAGTATGCTCAGATTCGTTATGTGACCCCTGACCCTACAATTATTGGACACAACTTGTAGCTGCATTAGGGTGAAGAAATTTAGGTACCTGGCCAAAATTAAACATGTTTAACAATGTAACATTAGACTTTTTCTGAAAATCATTTATCATCACCAGCATAACACTAGATTCTATTTCCTTCTAAAATAAAATAATGATATAATCTAGATCATTTACATTTCTAACCCACATCCAAACCCTAATATATCTAAACCTTTTTTCTCATAAATAGTTATATAGATTATTCTACATATTAACATAACTACCGGGCACATAATATATATAAAGATTATTTCATTAATTTTGATTTTGGGTTATATGGCCAAGTTTATATGGTTGTAAGCTTATAATATTACCTGTCTAAGCAATAAAGCCATGGTTTTATTGTATACAACCATTATTTTATACACATCCCTATAACTTGTGAAAAATCTTTTTAAAAAGTTTATGATACTGCACAATGTCTTTATTTGTGGAAAAATAAAAAAATGCTCTAAAAATTTAAAAGAACTTCACTGAGGTCTAGAAAACATAAAATTTGAAAATCGTATTAATATCAAGTGAGGCAATTAAAATGGGAAACTCTGCAAAGGATAACAAAGAAATATACTCAGAATTATATTGAAAATCAGTTTTTGTGTGATTCTTAGCTTGATTAGAGTGAAAGGTGTTGCAACGCTTTTTCTTTTTGGCTCATTTTGCACAACATAAAAACAATATGAGGGAATGACCTGAAAATTTGCTCAAGTAATTGATCCAACTCTTCATCAACTGGTACAAAAATCTTAGAAAAATATTTGCAGTCCCTTCATGACTAAAACCCTCAGTATAGTCCCTTTAAGACAGCAGTGTATATAGATATATAAACTTCACAATTATCCTATCAAAAATTACATTACAATAGTGCCATATAACATATAGGATCCAATAAAAATTGACTTTACAATTGTGCAATAAATATATACGGGTTATGGTCTCCAGGTTGGTTTATGAATATCTTCAGCAGATTCTACAGTCACAGGTCTTGTTGAAGCAGTCTTTGGTCGCCTCCCCTGTCTAGATGGAGGTCTCCCGTCCAATGTCCCAGACGACGAATACTTAGCACTCATAGTTGACCCTTCTCGTGTTAATCTGGCATAGTCCAAAGGAGAAAATAGGTAAGGCTTAGGTTTCTTGGTTTTATCAGCCCATGGGGCTTCAAAAGAAGGTTCCTCTAGCCTAGGTCCGAATAAAGACTCATCACAAAAAGAAGGCTTCTGTTTCACAGGCCTATATCTATTCAGTCTCTCTACATCCAATGTATGATTATGTCCTTTATTTGAAGATCTATAGCCCTTCTTATCAGACTGACTAGTATATGTACCGCGATCATCACTTGGAGTCCATAAAAGGGGCTTCATCCTTGGCATCTTTTTACTTTTCTCTATATCTGTGTTACAGCGAGGTGTATTAGACCAAGGTGGTTTGAAGCTTTTCACATTGTCGAGCCTAGGGTGATGAGAAGTGAAAAGTAGTTCATCAACATTGGACTTTTCAGAAACAACATGGTACCCAGAGTTTGGCCGGTTTGAAGTTCTAGATGATGGTCTTGAACTTGCCACTGAAGGGGGCCGGGTCCCAGTCAATTCTAAATCTTCCATCCTCATTGTCTCAGTTCATTTTCTGAAGAATAAAAAAAGTTAATAATTATTTATAACAGTTCAGTGTTTATTTTTCATATATAATGGTAAAGGAATATAAACTACAATGTACAAAAAATACAATTAATGAGACTAAAAGTTATGATTTTTAGCAAAAAATCTATAGCAAAAAATCTAAACCAGAAATTGTCAAATAAGATATCATGTCATTTTCTAATAAACTTTATTAACGAGGCCTGTCACCTCTGGTCATGACAAATTAAATCTTAAACAACACATTCATGTCTTAAATTTTGTCAAACGGTTTCGCTGTCATAGCTATAAATTATAATAATTGTATAGTTGCAGTGTATTTGCCTGGGAGATTTATAGAAATAACTGAATCATATTAAAATGAAGCTTAATTTTTAACTGCATGATTTTTGTGATCATTGTCAAGTTGAAAAAATAAATTGGATAGCTTTGGTTTATTTTCCAGATGTCACATTTGCCATTCAAAATAATAGTGAGCTCGACGAGCTGGCCCGAAGGGCCTGCTCGCAAAGCGAGCTTTACGGTAACGCGAGTACCTGCTAAGTGATGGTTTTGAAAACTTTCGTCCAAAGTACCGAATTGGACACATCGCAACCTTTCGAATTTAAAGATAACGATAAAAACTGAGGAATTCTGACTGAAAACGGATGTCTAGACTGGTCACCCGCGCACGTCTATGGGAACCATAATTAGACAGGGAACCAGAATAACGGAAGCTGTGTATAAAAAAATAATAATTGAAGGCGCCATTTTGTTTGAAAAATCTGATAAATAAGAACAATTTTTTGTTGAATTTTGTTGTGAAAACTATCTAGAATGAAAGAAAATGGTCTAATTAAGAAAATGAATCCGAACACCAATATCTTTTATTCAGTCGTTAACGCTGTACAGACGTTTAAAGTATTGTTTACTTGACGTCACAATGTAGCGCCAAACAGCACGTGCAAAACAAACAAATCAAGTACGCTATTTTAATGTCGCAAACGTTTTAAGTTTTACATTTATTTCACTTTAGATAATCTTTATTTCCCTTGAAAAATTATAGAGTGAAACAAAATAAACAAAGTTTTATCAACGTTTTCAAAACTCGTTATTCATTTCACGACAGGGGCGGAGCCATATTTAACACAGTACGTGTGACGTCACACGCACTCGTTACTGCATTTGAAATAAAATTGAGCGATTATTTCATACTATTTCACGTAAAAAGTGCATCGAGCTCGCTTTGAGGCTTTGCCTTTTTCATATTATCAGTGTTTTTGTAAAGCTTAACCTGTTAGGTTATTTCAGTCCATAGTTCCCAGTAGACATCAGTTTTACACGCCTAATTACTGATGATTGATAAGCAGTTAATTAAACAGTAGCCCGGGGTTCTATGATATCAAGGTACTTAACGTTTATCGGAAAATATTTAAATATAAATATCATAAATGAATGAGATTTTTCTTCCATCTTATAATTGAACCTTTGCCAGAACTGTTTGTCATAAAATTATTTCAAAAGAACCAATAAAAATGACATTTTTTAGAATATTTTCAATGCCTGCCATTTTGGGTTATTTCAGGAGGTTACTACGGTATCAAGGTAATCCCCAAAAAAACAGATATGGAAGAATTGATGGGTCAAAACTTTCAAGTTAAGTTGTGAAAAACTTCCAACAGTTAACTTGCTATAAAATTAAAACTATATGAACAGACTATATGTCAGTATATGTGTTTATAACATATTTTAATTGACTGTGTAAAAACCAAGTAGAAGTGCTATGGAAAATGGTAGTCAAATATGAAGGTTTTATAAAATAGTTTTCTTGCCACAAATACATTCATTATTCACCAAATTAAATTTATTGGCAGATGAAAATGAATCTAGTGTGCAAGTTTTACAAATATTAGCATCACCATGTGTTGCTTTTACTAGCAGTCACAGAAAATTTAAATACCTTGATATCATAGAACCCTTGATATCATAGGAACCGAGTATAAATTATAGATATACCCCACCCACAATTAACAAGTTTTAATCTTTTATACATTTCAAACAAAATATTGCAGCCACTTCATTGAACGTAAACATTAAAGCGTAATTTAAAATGCAGCTTCACTGTCACGTCATATCGATAACACAAGGTTATATTGTTGATAAATAAAATACCTTGCAAATTTGGAAAGAGCACCTGTCTCCTATGTAAACAATCCGGATTACGTTGGCGCTTGCACGATACTTTTTTTATAATTAGATTTTTTTACTTATCTGATAAAAGGAAATAACTAACATCGAATGTGTTTTGAAAAATAGTGCCAATAGCACACAAATGACTTAAAGACATTTTTTTGCAAAGAAAAAAAAAACACATTTGACAATCGTAATTTCTCGGCATTTTCCGTCAAACTTCGGATAAGTAATGAATAATAGCCAAAGTGTTCCGATTAACAATTTGATAAATAAATTTTACCAAAGATTTAAAATCACAGAAAAGGATGACCAATTCCAAAGTGGGTGGCGAATTTCACTGAACTCCGCGCACCGGTTACGCTACGGCCAGTTAGGGTAGGTCACGCGTGGGAGATCTCTTTAAGGGACTGTTTGTATCTCATAGCTGTCTCTTTAATGTATACAATGTATACCTGCTTAGAATTATCGTAAACGATTTTAAAGCAGTATGATGTCAAATCAAATCAAATCAAAATTTATTTATTGTCGGTATACATATATAACATTTTACAAAACATAAGCTATGTATAGCTTTTGACCGACATATGTAGATGTAGATGTTATTGTTCACATTTTGTTAAAAGTAAACGTAAATTTTTAAAACCATATCATAAAAGGTATCCATGAAAGGAAATTCGAAGATGTAATGAATAGTAAAAACAAATCACATTTAAAAAACATTGCTTTGTTGTTAAAGAATGCTTTATTTTGTAGAGAAATCATTACAAAATTCAAATAACAAGTATAATGTTGTACTATCTTTTGTCTCATAGAAAATTTGTTCAAGAAGCATATTTTTTTGTAATTACAAATGTATTAAGAATAAAGTCATGTCTTTTTTTTATTTTACAGGTACAATATAATTGTCACTCATTCTCGTGTTTTATGTATATTTTTCTGTGTTCAGGTAGTTACACTTTCACAATTTTGTATTTTATGTCGCATGTTTTTAAGAACCATGACAGTATTGAATAAAATCTTAAATAAATGCAGTTTAAGAAATGTACAAAATTCAAAATCAGGTAAAGTTTGCAAGGTCAATAACTTTAAAATGAATGCAGATATCTCACACAAGAAAAAAAATGTAGAATATCACTGTTACTTGCCTGGAAGACACTTTATTGAAAGACAGGGTGACACCTTTTTATGTATGTATTTAATTATTTATCAATTTTTTTGAGGGGGGGGGTGGTGTTTCGGGGTACGTTGCTATTATTCATTACTTATCCGAGGTTTGACGGAAAATGCCGAGAAATTAACTTTTGGTGCTCAATCGGTGAAATATATTCTGATCTTACACTGAACTAAACAAATATCCTCTATAAAATTTTAAGTTTGAATTTCCGAATTCAATAACGAATATAATATACAGGTACAATATAATTGTCACTCATTCTCCTGTTTTATGTATATTTTTCTGTGTTACGGTTGTTACATGTTCACAATTTTGTATTTTATGTCGAATGTCCTTATGAACCATAGTAGTATTGAATACATCTTGCAATAAATCTTGAAATCTTGAACTCCGACGCAGTGATCTCCCTTTGCTTTGCTACACAGACCTACCCAATCAAATGATTGTGAGGATTTTGGATCAATGCATTGCAGCGGTTACTTCCCCTGATAATTGCAGAAACCTGACCCTTTAGCAAAGAAGCAAAAATTGACATGAACATGTGCGAAGAATTGGTTTATTCTTGAAATTGAGCGCAAAGATTTCATAGTTACTGTGATCTGCCTAATAAAATAGTTGCTTATACATTTCTGTCCATATCTGAGCAGACATATGAAAACAAAGTTAATTAAGCGGGAAAGATTTTGTTCTACACAGGGTCTTTCAAAAAGAAACTTTTTTTTAAATCTAGACTTTACTTTTTGCAAATAACTTTACCATGTGAAATACCTAATACATTAATTATGTTTGCCTTATTACAATATGTGCATGACTGGACGAAAGTTCGTGAATGTTTTTACTTTTAATACAGCAACTGTGCTAGTCATCAATTTCATACTGTTAGCATATGTAGTCTGTGCATTATGGGACAAAAGAGAACGTTATCTTTTGTCACGGGAGCACTGTTGGCGTCTGACAAATGTTTCCACCTCGTTGGTGGTAGCGAGGTGGTTCTACTCAGGTGCCCCCACTCGTGCATGAAATAATGCACTCCTGAGGTCTTCCTCTAGCAGTAAAGTTGGACAGTCACCATGTGACATCTATTGCGTAACTGCAACGTACCCCGAAACACCCCCCCCCCCAAAAAAAAAAAAAAAAAAAAATAAAAAAAATAAATGAATAAATAAATACATACATAAAAAAGTGTCACCCTGTCTTTCAATAAAGTGTCTTCCAGGCAAGTAGCAGTGATATTCTACATTTTTTTTGCGAGATATCTGCATTCATTTTAAAATTATTGACCTTGCAAACTTTACCTGATTTTGAATTTTGTACATTTCTTAAACTGCATTTATTTAAGATTTTATTCAATACTGTCATGGTTCATAAAAACATGCGACATAAAATACAAAATTGTGAAAGTGTAACTACCTGAACACAGAAAAATATACATAAAACACGAGAATGCGAGACAATAAAATAGATATATCTATCTCTGGATACTGCCAACCCCTCTTACGAGTGTTAAAGGCAGGAATTTATGACTAGATTCTCTATAATAACCGGAATTTATTCTTCAATAACAAAATTTCTAGGAGACTAATGATACAACATAAGTCATAAGATTTCAGATTTTTCAGATTTGTTTTATGCCTTGCCTGAGGTTAGAGAAGTTGAGTTAAATGAGCGCTCAAAGGTGGCGCTTTGGTCCAAAATGGCGTCAGAATGGTGGGACATGTGCTGTTAGAAGAAATGATCATTGTTTACAATCGCTTTAAGTTCGTAAATGACTAGTTTGAAGTTGAAAGATGTAAGATCTTTTAAAGTTTATAGACTGACAACTATTAAGATTCGCGACAAACCCTAACCGTCTTATTGTAACGTAAATTATGCGAACGTAAATTCATTTTCATAGACTAAACCCGTACGTTGATCAGACGTTGTAACGTTATGCATACGTCTGCCGTGATTAGTCTAGGATTTTTAAAAACAGAGGGGATTTTCATTGAAAAGTGAGAATTTATTACATTTGACAATCACTGTCTATGATGGCATCTTCAAACGGAAAAGAGTCAACTCGGCCCTATACCAACTCGGCACGGGTCAACTCGGCACGGGTCAACTCGGCCCCCTTTACAAAATATATATAACGTATTAACTTTGCTTTGCATGTTGTTACGGTAAATGAATAATAAGAAATATCTTATTATTATATAATTATACATTGTACTTCTGCCGAAATAAAGTATATTTAGAAAATTTTTTTTATTTATTTGTCTTATATTTATAAACTCTCTCTGTTGAACTGCGTAAATAACCGAGGTATATCGAGTGAAAAAGCAAAAGTTGTTATCCCTAGTTTCCCTTCGATAGCAAAAGAATGCAAATTTAGCCGTGTTTAAATCGCTAGTTTGGGGCGATTAAATGTCCGATTTTAAAATTTGTTACACCAATTTAAAGCTGGTGATCTTAGCTTTTTCTCAGTATATATTTCAACACATTGTTTGACACTGAATGTATTTAAATTTACGGTAAAACCTACCACCTACCACGAGTCAGACATACACTGAGATACACAATCGGTAATCTTTACTCGCAATTCTACTGATAAGAAAAGCCTCTGAAACTGTCAATCCGTGTTTTATAAATAATTTCATAATAACAATAAATAGTGATAACACAAACCTAAATATTAATAATTAAAAAGTGGGCCGAGTTGACCCGTGCCGAGTTGGAATAGGGCCGAGCTGACTCGGGGGCCGAGTACGTATTAGGGCCGAGCTGACCCGGATTCCTTCAAACATTTAAGCACTATTACAGTGAACAGGTTAAGGTGACAACGGAGTCAATTATCACTGAAAATACCTAAAATGAGATTTTTTGCTAAGTAGATTTATCAACCTTTTCTGAACACATTCGTGATTTAAATTTGGAAGCAGTTAGTACAAAAAATGTGTTTTTAAACGTTTTAAAACGGTACCTATACTATTTGTATCTGCTATTCCCGTAACCTGTCGATTATCGATAACGCTCCGCCCCCTGTTGAGGCATCAATGAGGGAAATCGGTAGTTCCATATATGCGTGAATTACAGGTCCATACTACTCGTAATACATGTATCGTACAACTACCGTACATCTTTTATGAATATCTCAACATTTAGCCTTTTTTATAAATTAAAAAATTGTCGGCCAATGTACGTAACATAATGTATGAAACATAAATAATTAAGCATAGCGGCAAATCGCACGACCACGGGGTTGATTAAAAATGTAGTTGCTAAAATATCCATAATGTGTGAGAATAATTTGTATGTCCGGTTAATCTGATAGATATTACATTGAGTTGATAGACTTTTGTACGGATTCAAGGGTTTACTTTACATTCAACCTCGTTTTCTATCAATGTCAAGTAAAACAATTAACAACAAAAACAGACAACATTTTTTATGTGAACGCCTATATGACTTGTGGTAAGGTGTCCCTGACAAATTTCTAAACCATTTTAGATTGTCTAAGGATGATTATTTCTCTATGAATAAAAAAAAGATATTAAAATATATTTTCAGTGAAAATAAATTGTTCGACAGTAAATCGGACACAGTACTAATAAATCTGGGACAAAGTATGAAATTTATTGTCTATCCCGGTAGAAACTGGATCTTTATGCCGTGCATAGATGATATTCATGATAATATAAGTCAAGAAGGCCAGATCATAATGATCGAGTAATATCTTTTATTTCTATTAAAATATGTGAAGCATTATCAATTTGGTGGAAAAAAATATATAATATCCCGTTCTTATTTGTACATCTACCATGGACTTTAAAAGACTGTCAGAAGCTCAGTTTTTTGTTATTTTATTTTATATTTTAACGGAATTTCATACACGAATACACAGGCAGAGTGACACTGGTATAATACAATAATGATGCTGATGATAATAATTTAATAAACTTCAAAAAGGAAACAATTAAATACCCCGCTAGCGGTGGGCAATGCGTTCCATTTCCCCCCACTGAGTGCCTCATATTTTACCGATAGTCACGTGACATGTGCGACAGATACCAGACGGAAAGTAAATCACGTTAAGAATTGAAGAAATTTCGGCTATAAACTGATATTAATCAGCAGCTTTTTAATTGGTCAGATGTCACTGGGTCATAAAATGTTGTTAGAGTATGTTACCGCAACTTGTGACCCTCTCTGGTGCGATATTTGTGTATTATGCAATTTTTTAGCGTGAAACGTGGGGGTCCGAGAGAGAACAGCCGATTTATGACACTTCGTTTGATGCGGGTTGGACTAAACTTTGAATCGGCATAATTTTTTTTAATAATCAAGCAATTAACATGCGGTTTTAAGCACATGAAAGGAAATTTCATTTACGGAGGGAACCGTGTCAGGGATTTTTGTTTGCTCAATCAGCGACTTAATTATCTTTAATTACGTAATATGTATGGTGAAAAAAGTCGCATAAAATGTTTGACGTTACGTAATATTTTTTTGAGAAAAGATAGAAAAAATTTGAGACACGGTTCCCCAGATAATATAAGTATGGTTATTTTCCAAAAGTTTGATGACAAAAAAATAAAAAATGACTTTGATATGACGATTTAAAATTTTAGGATTTTTATTCAAAATCAATCATTTACAAAGGCATTTTTTTCAAATATGTTATTTTTTATGATGATCAACGATATTTAATGCACAAAGATTAAATAAATAACAATTATTACTAAAATAACTTAGTTTAAATGACATTTATGTGAGTACCACGGAAAGTGTCTGTTGTCACCTCAAGAAGACCTTATTTAAAAGATTTTAGAATCTTTTCTTCAATTTTTTTTTATTTTATAGCTTTCAATTGGGAATATTTTACTGTGGATTGGGAAAATAATAATCTATTTTTAATTGTGAATATGACTCAATAAAGACTATAAAATTAGTAAAAAAATCCCTGTATTATTAGGAAAAGAGTCAACTCGGCCCTATACCAACTCAGCACGGGTCAACTCGGCCCACTTTAAAAAAATATATTTAACGTAGTAATATTAAAAAAAATATCAAACAAAAACATGTTTACTTAATATCATAATTAAGCTTCTAATTAATTGCAGGTGGTCACTTATCAATTTTAAATGAATGCGTCAATCATAATTATCACCTAATTAATCGGTATCCTTACAAACACACTGATTGATAATAATAGCCTGTGACAATAAGAGTCCCTTTAATGTCTTTAACCAATTTCATTTAATTTGTTTGTAATTGTCAAAAGCTGAAAATTAAGTCCGTGTATTATACATAATTACAAATAATACAAAAAATAGTGATTACACAAACCTAAATATAAATAATTGAAAAGTGGGCCGAGTTGACCCGTGCCGAGTTGGTATAGGGCCGAGCTGACTCGAGGGCCGAGTACGTTTTAGGGCCGAGCTGACCCGGAATCGTATTATTAAAATGATATATAGTTCTCCCCGCGGGTACCGCGTCCTTGTCCATGCCGTTGTAATCAGAAAATGTTCTTTACACACTTAACGCCACCAAATACTGTTTCCACCATTAAAGTTAGAGGATGTGCTGCTTTTTTTCATTTGGATAAAAATTGTCAAAAATATTTTCATTTCAAATAAATTTCTGTCAATGATAGGTCCAATCCAAAGCTGCCCACATGTGTTTGAAATACTTCTTTATTCTACCCCATATTTACCAGTTAAACTGATAACTTCATGTTCTGACAAGTGAAGGTCGTCTGTTGAAACTGTATTGACGTCATATTCTGTTGTAAAAATTATACTGAAGCAGGGCCTTTTTTCCTTCTATAACAGAGGCCGGTATAGGGCTGCTTCCCCAAAGAAAATTTCTTTAAAATCATGCAGTTTTCCCCAGAAATTGAATTTACATCAAGTCTTTTCTTCCCCTTTTGCAAATATACCATGTAATTTTTCCCCAAAATTAAGGGCTGGGCTGCTTCCCCAACTTGTGAAAAAAAGCCCAGTGAAGCCAAATAGTGCCATCAATTAACATACCACGGAACCATAGTGCTCCATTTAAGCTCCCATTCAAAACATGGCTGACTGACCATAGATGTTTCTAATTTAAATCATTAAGTTATTCTATCATCTATGTATGACATGAGTATTTTAAAGTCAAGTTGCGACAGTTAAACACAATTTAATAAAATAGTAAATACAAGCTCTTTTTATTTGTACAATTTGCAGGAATTAATAAGATCATTAATAGGGGACCATCCTACAAGCTAAGTGCAACACTTTACACAGTGACATCTGTAACACTCGTTGCTCAGAAAAATATTTTGATACTGCAGAATTTGCTTCAAATTACAGCAAACTCCACTTACAACTGCTAGATCTTAACCAATTTAAACAGGAAGTGGTAGGGATTATAATGGGATACTCTAATAGTTTACATGTTCTGTTTTCACGTATTAGAATAAAAACAACATTTTTACAACAACTTGAATTATTCAAAGTCATTCACTAATATATTATTTTGTATTTTCAGATGCAAGATAAAGAGCAGTGCCCTGTATGTTTACGTGCTGGCCTAATTAAATACTTGAAAAGTTACCAGATCAATCTAGATGAAGCTGTAGTTCTTTGTGAAAACAAATTGGTAAGGAAATAGATACATACATATTTACAATGTCATTTACAAAATATTAACAAAATTGTCTGTGTCCAATTTTTTAAAAGGTTGGGATGCCAAGTGACTTGTTAGTCATCTACTCGTATGTATTAGTACTTTTACTTTCAGATGACAATTTAGAATCAAGTAATGTAAAAACTTTTATGTGAAGTTGGAATTTGACATCAATTCTAGAAGTTGTTTTTGTCAAACAAATTTTTAACAGTCTATTCGTTATTGAATTTGGAAATTAAAACTTTAAATTATATAGAGGATATTTGTTTAGTTCAGTGTAAGATCAGAATATATTTCACCGAATGAGCACCAAAAGTTATATTTCATGAGTGTCGCAGCCATGAGTGAAATATGAACTTATAGTGTTCACGAGGTGAAAAATATTTCGATCTTACACTATACAAAACAAATTTTCTTTTTATTATATGCAAAGAAACGTTCAAAAAGACTTTTAAACTGTTACTAAATGAAAAGTGTTCCAAATAATTATACAACGTAACGTCATTTATGAGGTCACGTCATTGAGTTGGTTTCCAGTTATGTGCACACTGGTAAACAACGTATTTCTATAAACCACCGAAAAGCATGTATTAAAGAGATTACTTCCTTTTTCAAACTAGACATTTTGATTAAATAGAAACCATTCAGCTGGGGTTCTTTTTGGCTTACTATTTTCTCAACTCATATTTTTATGATATTTTGCTATCAGATTTATTCAGTGAAGAAAGTGCAGTATAAATTCACTTATGGCTTGAGGCTTCAAAATGTTTCAAAGTTTAAGTTTTAATGTTTTTAATCAAAAATGGTTATAATCTCTCTCTTTATGATTTTATGTTTATTTATTTCAGTGTACATACCCATTGTCTCTTAATTCATCTGTAGCGCCAACATTTTCTCGTAAACTTGGTGATGTTACGTCCAGCAGGAAAAATGAGGGGAAGGCTAAAGTCATGGATTCCCAGATGGCATTACAGACGAAAATGTCCTCCCATATGCATAAGACTGGTCTTCGTCTCCAGAAGGATGCCATAGGTAAGCCTAAGTTAAAATTTACCATATTTTTCTGATGAAGCTATAATGATGTGCCCTTTATGCTATTGGCCTCCAATTGAGTTAACAAATAATGACCATACAGGATGATTAATGATTAATGGATAATGAATCAATGATCATGTGTGTATTAGTGTGAGTAATACGGTACTAAATACCTGTACATGTTAAGAAATGGTCTATTCTAAGTTTTGACCTTTTTCCTGTTCTTAATTATCCTGACAGGGCCGGCAAAATATTGCCCAGGTTGTCCCACAGCCTGAACGGACAAGTAAAAAAATTTCAAGGATTAAACTATGTAATATCATACGGACAAGTTAAAAAATTGCTACCACTTAAAAACGGACAAGGTAGTCAAAATCAGATTTTTACCGGGCCCTGCCTGATATCTATTAAATAGTATAGTCATAATAATGAATGTTTTAATAAATGAATGCCTGTGCATTTTAACAATATGGTTTCTTTTAAGTTTTTGACCTTTGTTGCCGTCCTTACATATACTTATTCTAGTAGATAGTATATAGATTAAGGCAGAATTATTCCAGTATATTTGTATCTAATTTTACTTCAGGCATACAGACTGGTAGCCCACAGTTAAAGAAAAAATTGAAGACGAAGCAAATTCCGTACAAGAAAAGGGCTGTAACTTCTACATTTCTCAACCAGAATGGTTTTGACAGTTATCCCCCTTTCCTATTACAAAATGGTTCAGAGTCTTTCCCAAATTTTAAATCTTTCACAGAAGCAAATAGAAATACCCTCGGGGCTTTGGGACAGACTGGTTATTACGGGCCTGAAGGAGTTTCAGATAAAGACTTCATACTTAACTCTAGTGGAGAGAGCCTCGAGTCCTCATCCACAACTAGTTCAAACAGTTCAGTAGCTGAAGGTAGTAATTTTTCAAACAAGATATCCAATTCATACCAATCATTCCAGGTTAGAGAAAGTCAAAAAGGACACTTGCCTAATTCTTTGCCTATTTTGTCTAGTCAGAGCATAACTTATAATGGACATTTAGATCAAGTAAACAGCATTATTGTTAGTGATAAAAGGATTATTAATGAACATAAAAAATCAGATAATTTGTCAATTGTTGAAAATGAAAAGTCATTTGATAAAGTACAAAATACAGATATGGTTAACCAGAACAAAAATATAAACCCAGATTGCAATTCTCAAGTTCAGATGGATGAGTCCTTACAGAAAGTTGAAGAAAGAGTTGGAAATGAAATTAAGACAGCAGAAAAATCAAATGTCTGTCTGTCAAAATTGGCTCCTTATCGAGACAAAACTGTTGTAGAACATCGGAGTGGTTGGCTCAGATACCCTACAGTCTTTCCACAGTGGAGAAACAAAGATGCACTTTGTTGGCTTGATGTAATCTTGTGTCTTTCAGTTCACAACGAAAGTTTGAAATCCCTAGTTTTCTGTGATACCTTTGACAAGAAAAACTTGATATATAAGTTGTTTGCAGCACATAATCAAGCATGTAAACTTATACAAGACTCTGAAAATAAACTGGTGCTACAGGAGTGTGAGATTAGTGACACTGATTCCAATCAATTTAAAGAAATTGATAAATGTTCAAATTTGAATTCTAAAAATCAAGCACAGCCAAATAGTGATCTTAGCAAGGAGAACATTCCAGTAAGCACTGTAAGCAGGGGCGCTTGCTTAGAAAACACTCCAACAGAAGATTTGTTAAATGAAGTGAGGGAGGAGGTCTGGACCAAATTGAAGTGTCAGTTGAAGTGTGAAAAGGGACAAAACGAAAGTCCAGTATTTGCCTTTCCTTTACTTCTGAAAGAAAGTCCTGCTGTTGAAGAGATGTTTAAAATGGTGTATAGGTAAGCATAAAAGTTAAAGAAATTTTGTATGCTATATTATACAGTCTAACTTGCCCATGTGACCACGTGTATTAAGCGACTTTTGTCTTAAACGACCACTTTAAATTCCCCCCGATCATTTTCTCTCTATATCTTTAATGTATTAAGCGACTTTTGCTCAACGCGACCAGCGACCGCTTATTAGTCACCTAATTGAGATCAATCTTTTCATTTAACGACCACTTTTACCTGTCAAGTAATTGTGTTTTTAGAGAACGCTTCTCGTAATGTCACAAGTGTCAACAATCAAAACACAACAAATAAACGTGTGAAAAACTGTATTTCCCAAACCGTTTTAGCGTATGCAAATGAAGTTAAGTATACCCGTGATTTTTATTATCCAATAATATCGGATAAACAATGCAACATTCCGCCCCTACTGAGATGGTGTATACGCTTCGCTTGTTGACATTTAGACTGCATTGAATTGACCTTGAACTTGATCAGCAATTAAATTAATCGTAACAATTAGATGTAGTTTGTTTATTTCAAATGAAAAAATGCACAACAGAAAACATCTTCACTAATAGGGTTTACGTGTTGCAGACAAGGAAAAACAACGGAGAAGTTAAAAAACTCTGAAAAAATGTCAAATATGAACGTAATTTGTCAATAAATATCAGAAAGTTATTTTTTACATTTGCATCCATTTAGATTATCGTAGCGTACTAATTATTTAACATTTATAATATATAAAAATGAAGTTGAAAAACATTCCCACTTCATAAGGAAGATGACTTTTATATCGTGCTGACTGTCTTAAGAGACCGTTTCATTAAGCGACCGTTTTGGGTGTTTCCCTTGCGCGGTCACTTAATACACGTTTGACTGTATATTTACAGTGATTTTTCCCCAACATTTTACAGCCAAATAATTATAAAGACTGCTTCCCCTAGCCTTAAATAGGTATATTAATTTATTTTAAATAAAACTGCATATTTTCATGAGAGACTTTGATATGAATGTTAAATCATATTTTGTTAAAATTATATAAGAAATTTAGGATCTTTTGCGACAGTTTGCAATTACTGCAATAATTAAAGAAATTTTTGAGAAGATTTTAATTTCAAGAACCCATTCACCACACTAAAGACAACAAAATATTTTTCACAAATTTATAATCTTGAGGGCGTCTTGATAATGGATAGATAAAGAAAATCATGATTTCAAATTGTTCTTTTAAGAAAGTAAGACCTAGGAAAATGAAGATAAAATGTTTTGGGTAGCAGAGATATTGTGACACAAGCAATTTTGCATTAGAACTATATTTTGCATTAGAACTATATTTTGCATTAGAACTATAAGTTTTATAAAAACTTGCTAAAAATTTCTATATTATATGATAATTTTTAGGTTTGACTTCAAGTGTTCCAAGTGTGGTAAAACAGAAAGTTCTGATCACATCAACACACTACCAACATTTCCTACTGTTGTCAAGGATTTCAACATCGGTGACCCCCAACACATCAAGAAATGTTTTCAATGTGGAAACACTACAGATACTAGAAACATGGTCTATAAAAGGTAAGTCATATTTGCTATTAACCTGTTGTTGTTTTTTTCATCAGTTTGAAAATAATGTAGAAGTTTTGTAATACATGATAATTTACAGTAATAGAAATTATATAGAAACACATGATGCAAATTTTGATCAAACACTTTATATTCTATTACCAGGCGTGATGATGTTCTAAATGTATTACTAGTGGTTTATATGTATAATTGTTTAATGAGATACATGTAAATGAAATTTTCTTCTTCTTAAAAACTCAGCCTACCCTATGCTAAGTTCATTGCTTTTTCTACACTTTATTTAAGTCTATATGATTTTTAGCTTGTCTGTTTGGAAGAAAACACCAAGGTTTTATAATCATTGTGATATCATAGTGCAAAAAAATGTAGCACATTATTGAAAGATTTAAAAGTTTCAACATAAAACTTGGAATACTTGCTTATTATGACAAAGTGCAGTTGGTTGTCAGGGGGCATAATTCTGAAGTCAATACTTCTGGAGTAATGCTCCTTTGTAACTTTTCTTAACAGACCAGCGTTAACACCATATGCCATGTTCTTGTTTAAAATTTCTGTAAGATATAATTATGTTTTGAAAGCTTTTTGACTTCAAAGCTTTTCTTCTGTGTTGAATATTATTTAATTAAGTGAGTATTGATTTTATTGCAGTTTACCAAAGTGTTTGCTTATGCATTTTACTGATGGTTTGCCAGAGACAACATGGGAAGAACTGCAATTTGGTTTCCATGGTTACCTATATACTGTTACAGGTATTGTACAGTACATCAACAATCCAGATCACTTTATTGCATGGTTGAGAAATCCATACGGTGAGTCAACTTTCTATTTTTATATACCCGAAACAATTTCGGGTATATGCTATTCCCCCTGGCGTCTGTCCGTTAGCAATTTGGTTTCTGGAGCATTACTTAAGTTCCATTTGGCCCACAATATTCAAACTTCATAGGAGGATTGCTATTTGAAGGAGGTAATACTTTATTTAATTCCCATGTCTTACAAATTCTTCATCCTTACTAAAAAAAAAAAAAACACTTTCGGGCATATAATGCTCCGTCTAGCGGTGCTCTTGTGTAATATAAAAATAGGCAGTTTATAATTTCTTTTTGTTAATGTCATGAGGTAGAAACTGAATAAACTTTTAGGGGTGTCTGTGAACAAGTGGTTATGGTTGTTGACTTCAAACCACTTGCCCCTCACCGCTGTGGTTCGAATCCTGACAGGGACTTTAAAATCTTTGATGTTTGGAAGCTATCCAGCTAGCTCTCGAAATGTCAGTGGTTCTACTCTGGTTGAAATAATGTACAGAAGGGCCATTTAGCCATATATCAGAAGGTCCCTGTTTGTACAATTTAAAATGATGAATTTTAAATGATTAAGGTCGAGGGCGATATATGATTTACTTTTATTTTGTGAAATTGAAAGATTTTTTTTGTGAACAGGAAATTTTCTTTCTGAATTTTAATTCCATCATATGATCTCGAGACAGTTGTAAGCATTTATAATTTAGAGAAAGAAGTGGTAGAACAGTTTCTTGCTCAGATTACTTGTTATAAATAACAAAAATAAACAAGTAAAATTCTGAAACTTTTGGTTTTATTAATAAATAATGAAAACTGCAATCTTTCATGCCCTTTAGAATGGTATTGAAGTTAATGCTCCAAAAGAACATAAAAATTAGATATATATACACATGTGTACTCTTAATCAATAGCAATGCCCATAACCTTGGTGTTGTTTGTTTTTTTCAGACAACAAATGGTTTAAATGTGATGACTTGAGATCAACAATATGTCAGAAAAGATCAAAAGAGCCAGCTTTCTCTTGCAGTCAAATTCACATAATCATGTGGGAACGACTAAAGATGAAATCTAAAATTTGTCGCCAGGTTGCCATAGACGCTGATGATAGTTTACACATAGAAAAACAAAAGTTGGAAAAGAAGACGCATTTAAATTTTGATTTAATTACTGAAAAGGAAAGTAAGCATACTGAACTAGGAAATGAAACTACATGTAACATTTTAAAGCATATTAACAAAGTGAATGATGACTCTACTGGTGGGAAGGTGAAATGCTCGATTAACTCAGTACGATTGTTAGATACAAGTCCATGTTCTACACATAGTACTGGGTCCTCGGATTCTCTACATTTGCCAAATTTTGTTGCGTTCACGGGGTCAAATGAAGGAGTGTTACGCCCAATCCCTATGCCAATTGTCAGTGTAATTCCAATAACTTCCAACAACAATGCTAATATTAAAAATAATATACAGTCAAAAACTAGATCAGACAATACTGTTGATTGTTCAGAGAAAAAAGGCATTAAAGTGAAAAATACTTCTTTGTTAGGAAACTTGATAGTGAAATTAGAACGTAAAATGTCTCTAAATGGTGCTAATGATAAAAATGAGCAAATGGTTGGTAAAAATGAGTTGAACATGCCATGCTCTCAAATTAGTGGACCCAAAACTATAATTAAACCTTCAACAGTATTTTGTGTTCCTAAGAAATCCAGTGAGGCCGACTTGAATGCACACTTAAGTAATGTTGTAAAGTCAGATAGTGTGAAAGAACATGTTAACACTTGTGGTGACAGTACATGTAAAGAAGATGATACTGCATTGCCAGGTTTGAGCATTCATAGTGAAAATGGTACATGGAATAACACAAGAAAACGTAAAAGTAATGTGACACCTGAAAATGAAATTATTGATAAGAAATTGCTGATAGAGAGTAAAGATGATAAGTACATGGGTATAGAACATAGTGAAAATGTTGAAAAACATGACCATAATGTAGAATTGAAAACTGCTAATGAACAAAAGAGTAAGTCAAGACTTAGTCAAAGTTCCAGATTCAAAGTGCCTTTTAAATTGAATAAAAAACCTCAGTTGTCTAAAGATGCATTTTTCACACTAGATACTGACACAGGTACACCAGGTTCAAGTGGTTCAAATACTCCAATGTCTCCTATCTCACCTGCGTTCAGTGGAAACTTAAATTATTTGAATTCTGTTAAACAATACCTTCTTAGTCGTACTACAGGAAGACCTGACCCAAAGTTTAAATTTGAAGGTCTTAATTTGAAGTCATCGTCAAGTTATGGATCTTTTGATTTGTCAGAGTTGGGTTTATCATGTAATGCGTCAGCTCTGCCAGCAGAATGTAACAGCTTCGACAGCGAGTCTTTAAGCAATTCCTCTAGTCATAGCACCATATCTAAAAAGAGTGAGCTGGTCAATAAATTGATCCAAAAACTTGAACAGAGTCCAATTAGTGGCGTACTTAATCAGACAACATTGAAAAGAAAATTGGAAATGAATGCAACAAAGAGTCCTAAGAAAAAATTGCAAGGTAATGAAGTTGATCAGGATACACTGTCAAGTGGCAACACTTCGCTAAAGGAAAATTCAAGCATTCACCATCAAAAAAAAGTGCCGGGTGGAAAAAGTATGAGACTTGTACGAAAACTTGCCGTTAAGGCGGAGAATGCAAGCAGTGAGCATAATATCAGTAAGACAAACATTGGATCTTTAGAACTGAATAACCAAATGGTAAATACGAAGGTGGCTAAGTGTGATTCAGAATCTGTGTTACAGGATCTGTACGAAGCTCTCAACATACCCTACAGTAGTGTTGATGCTACCATGTCTGATATCATGACGGATGTTGACGACATACTCGGCTTTGTAAATGTTGATGATCTGGTACCCGACCCACATCACATTAACAGACCTCTGTCCTGTTTTGAGGGCTCTTCTGCCGAAAACCAGAAACACTCTGATTGGTATGTTTTATCTTGAATGATTTCCATGTTGTGTTGGTAATGTTGTGAGGTATAGTAAAGATGAAAGTATCACATAAACTCATGATATGCTGGTTTACATAAAGATGAAAGGCTTATAAAAATTGAGAAATATTTTTGTTGAGAAAAAGGTCTTTCCTTTGAATGGTCAAAACGGATATTAATGTTAAAATCATGAATATTTAATATTATATTAGTTTTCTGATTCCCCATTTGTCTTTTAAAAGATGAAAAAGTAATACAGGCATCTACAAAAAAGTATGACCCCCCCTTGTGTTATTGCATAAAATGCAAAATAGTGTAACCTTTCAAAAGTTCAAAAAGTATATATATGCCAATATATACATAAACAGCCCTTTCACTTATTTTGTAATTAAGTAGAGAAATTTAACTTGGTCATGTTTAACATAGAGTACATGTATTTAAAGTGCTAAATGCATTGTGTCTATATTTATACTGTTCTCAAATTCTTGAAACTTGATTCTCATCTGGACTAATGCTACCTTATTAAAGGTGTAAACATTTTAATAGACAAGCCAATAGATTATTGTTGATTTTGCATGTTGTTAAATTATATACTGCTATATTTCAGTACTTAATACTATGTCGATATATGTCTGTTACTTTAAGTTTATTAAAATCATTGTTTTGAAGTCTTGTTCTCTCTTTGTAATTTTTTTTGGCACAAAAAGACATAACTCACTGTCTCAGTATATTTTTATCTCCCATATTTTCAGAATATAGAATATATTTAGCGTCGCTGAAAGTCGAGGGTTCTACCTGAGTGTTTATTTGACTTGTACCTAGAATCATGTACACAGACACGATCTTCGTGTCAAATTCAACCATTCGAAGCTTGAAAGTTGCTGTGTCTTTCTTAAATGTGGAGAAATTTATTATTATTTTGTAGAATATGGTCTCTGATCTACTATAAATTTGTATGGTGAAGCAGGACTCTTAATCAGAAGAAATGACATGGAATCAAATAATTTTATATCTAAATGAATAACTACTATAGATTGAACATTACAGAAATGATTCCATTTCATTTGTTTTGAAAATAAGAATGTGTCCCAGTGTTTTCTCTTCATAGTAAATCTAAAATTCTTTTCATATTTCAGCTGGGTAATGAGACGAGATCGTAACTATTCACAAAGACAGATGTCATTATTTAGAATCACTCATTTATTTCTCAAATAACCATATTGTGTTGATGGAAGCGTAGGTATTGCGTGACTAAATTAAAGAAAGAACAAATAATTATCTGGCATTCTATGAACGAAAGAGATCAGGCATTGAATCTCACTGGATCTTTACCAAAACAATAAAAAATATGATTCTTTGCAGACCGTTTAAAATACGGTTTATACCAAAAAAAAATATATTTGAAACTCAGAATTTTAATTTGATTATGATAATAGATGTCTTTACAACATGGTTTTAATAAGTTGTAAAACATGAAAGGAAACTGTTTTTTGTTTATTTCAAATCTTTTGGTTGTCCGATCCAATTTCAGAATGGTCGTAAATGACACAAATCAAAAATCAGTGCAGAAGTTTTTGAGTGCACTTGGTTAAGTTAAAATGTTGCCACACAGTAATACTTTAAAACTGAGCATTTATTCATGCACTAAAACTGAGCATTTATTCATGCACTGATATATCCTGTATTAAGCAACGAGTAAATGGTTATTTGAAAAATGAAATTATGGAGAGAGAACAATATTGTTACAGACTCCATGGTGAGGTGACCTAAGACTATGTGTCTGTTGGTTATTCATTTTGGATTTCTGCTGTCCTTGTTGATATACTTAATGTTATATGACTTTCACAACCATGCTTGATAACACCTTAGAATGCGATGTTATCCACTGTTGCAATGTCTTTATGCAATTTGTAAACATTACGTTATTTACTGAAGTTTATGAGTAATGTTTTACAGAAAGGATTCTTACGTTTCACTAATGTGTCAGTTGAAAATGCTTCACTGCTGTAGAAAACACTAAAACTTTTGAATGAAAACACACATCTTTACAGAAGATATAAGACATGTTTCCAGAAAGCTGTCTGATTATCCTGTACTGTCTCAAGTGTCTGTCTGTACAGACAGTGTAGTGATACAAAATACAAAGGAATTTTTAAATTCTGATGAGAGAAGATAAACATACACATGATGATGATTGTATATAAGGTGAATTAATGAATTCAGGTGTCGACCAATCAAAAGTGAAATTATTTTTCCTAGTTATTCAGCAAAGCTTGTCAGTCTTAAAAGTCATTTAAAAAGTGAAAATTCTGGCAGTTTCAAATAAGTTCAGTTATTATTTGATAAATATATAAGTTGATAGTTATTCTGTCACTGACATATCTGATTGAAGTTAGTGAAGGGATTAATTTGATATATATAGCTTGTCAAAAACTGTCAAATGAATTTATTGATTCCTATTAAGTCTAGGTCACTTCAATTTATAGCTTTTCATTTCAGTTTATATTTTGTCAAATTCTCGATTTACATCAGAAATTGTGTCTGTAGCCAAGTTTACTGCTGTGGGGTTTTCGAATTAGCACAGGTCCAACTTTAGATTCTTTTATGTGAGGAAGCTATCTAGCTAGTGTATAGGAACGTCTGTGGTTATACTCAGGTGCCCGTTCCTGCCTGAAATAAAGCACGGACGAGCGGCTGAGGTTCTCCTTCGCCAGTAAGGCTGGAAAGTCGTCGTATGACCTATACTCTGTTGGTGTGATGTAAAACCCAACTGACATTAATAGAAATTTGAACTTGTTTATCCATAACCTGTTGGGATGTAAGTTTGCCACCAAGATATCTAGCATGGGCAGTCTTCACTTTCATATATTCAGACCAGGCTCTATATAGTTGCTCTCAATTGGTATTTCATTTGTATTTTTATACAGAAATCCTATAAAGTTTTAAGTGGACTGTTCCAACTTCAAACCAAGGCCAGTCTGCATATACATCCAGCAGCTGTGAGAATTGCAGATGAAATTGGCTAATCACATTGTTGCAGTTGCATCAAGACAACTTGTCTGTTGTGTATTGTTGTTACTGTATTTAGTTTGAATCCTGGCTGGTGTATGGAATTCCCACATGTGAGGAAGCTATCCAAATAGTTTATGAAACTTAGATCAGTGGTTCTACTCCGGTGCCCGCTCGTGCTTTAAGTAAGGCACGGAGGGGCATCTGCTGAGGTGTTCGTCCACCATTAAAGTTGATAAGTTGCCATATGACCTCAACCATGCCCTTGTGATTTAAAATTCAACAAAAATGTAAGGGCTAACTTGCACTTAATTGTGTCGCTGTTTAATATGAGGGGAGGGGGGGGGGGGAGTCTTGAATCTGGAAAGATTTTTTTTTGCTGAGAAAATACAGCTTAAAAAGTTTTCTTTTTTTATTGAACATGACCTATAGACATGAAACTTTATTTTGAATTGCTTAAAAAAAGTCACTGTATTTTTCTTGACAGATTTTATGGAGTTTGGAGGAGTTACCATTACATGATCAGTATCTACACACTTAGGTACTTCAAAATGTATCTTTACTGATAAGATTTAATCGAAAGTTTATAGGATATATGGATGTGAGAGCGCCTAACTACAGTACTGTCCAGAAACAGGTTCAATTCTTCTGAACCTGCAACTTTCTATTTAATTTTTTTCTCTCACCATCATGGGTGAAACGAAGTTTCTGGATACTTCATAGTATTTTGGTAATATTTCTATGTATGACTGGTACAGAAATTGATCGGAATTTTTGTTTTTGTATTAACAGATATGGCTTCTACTGTATTCTCCAAAGTCTAACTAGAGAACTGTCCGACTTAAAAATGTCCGTCAAGTGTCCGATGTGAGCTGCTTGCACTTTGAACCAAAATTTGATGCTAACTCAACAAGTCTTGGTTCAAAGTTCTGTCGTCCGGTGAGTGATAGTCTGGTTCGTCTGTCTGTTTGTCCGAGATAGAACCATTGGTGGAAGATTACAATGGAAGAAGACAAATGGCATGTAAACTGGTGGGTTCAACTGCTGTAGACACAACGTGATTGGTTTGTATGAAGACACCAGAATGTAAGATGAGAAGTTGTCATAGCAGATGCTGCACCATCATATAGGATGAACATCGCAAACATTATATAGTAATTGTAATGGCTGAATATATTACAAACTGTTTTTTTCCTGTTTACATTTTGGTAGTCATCTATCAGTAACTGTCCCAAAAAAAGTTTTTTGCATCTTATTTATGAAAGATATGTTGAAATAGGCTTTGATGATGGAGTGTGTAAGTTAAGTAATAGATATTTAATACTATTATGTATGTTAACATTGAAATGCTGATCAACTTGTCCAGCATCCATTTTTGTACATGTCCACTATCAATTTTCTGAATTTTGATCTGAAAATAGAGCTTTAAGTTTAAACAAGAAGGGCAGGACAATTACACAAAAAGACAGACTAGTTTCTGGTTTGTTCTCTGGCATTCTAGAGATCAGTAAAATTTTCTTTTCAGTCTTTTGAAGATGGTCACAATAGATGTCCTTCTGAGTTCCTTTATTGAATTCTTTTCAAGTTTGATACATTTAAAGTAATGTTCCAGCAACAACAACAACAAACTTCCTTAACTATTTTGAGATATAATAATTATCTGTGATAGTTTTAAAAATTGCATCCTGGCAGAATAAGGATAAATTTATATTTAATGACAGAATATTATTTATAATCTTTACTTTCAATGACAGAATATTATTTATAATCTTTACTTTCCGGTATGTTTTATGACAGAATATTATTTATAATCTTTACTTTCCGGTATGTTTTTTTTAAAATTCATTTTGTATTGAATATTGTTTTTCTATTTTTGTACTATTTTGTATTTGAGTTGAAAATTGGGGACATAATAACTACCAACTAGATAACAGTCTCATGTTGACATACAATTGACAGTTGATAAAGTGTTTGTTAAAATTATACATTTTTGCTGTTAATGATATTGTAAAATATGACATCCAGAATATTTCATAAATTAATGTTGATACCATTTAAAAGGACCATGTTAAAATTTTACACCAGTTGGTATTTATTTCTCTTACTTAAACACATGTAACTACTGATATACTTTTACAATAGACTGCTCCGGAATTAAGAATATATTTTATTTATATGTTTTTCCCAGCTAATTGTGTGTGTGTGTGTGGGGGTAACAAACAAACTGCTTGAAAATTAAGCGAAACAGGTTGACTAATCTATTGTGGCCGATTGTGCACTGTGAAGCAGTAACGGTAAAAGTTTGTGTCCTCGGGTTAGCTTGGAAAAACCGATTTTGCCAAGTTAAGACATCATCTATTGTCATCAAGATATTATTTTGTAGCCTAAGACTGTTGGAAAAATATTATGCGGCACCAGTTGATTGTCCCGGTATAGAATGTCCCAGGTTGAAATAAAGTATTTTCTTGTGTGTATTTATTATGTTTTTTGTCGTAAATTTCAAATGACATGATACTTTAATTTATTATAATTAACAAGGACATGCAGGTTTAAGTGTAATGATTCTACAAATGTATTCTAAACAAATATGAAAGTTCTTTTGTTTTCATGTAATGCAGCTGTTAATTTAAATCTTGCCCCTCTCACCTTTAGAGCATTGCCAGATAGACGTCCTGACAGTTGCAATGGTGACTTCAAACATACATTTCTTTTGCAGATGTTTTAAAAACACTTTAATGTTTAAATTGTTGAGAAATGCTTAAGCCAGTGCTAGAGATGCTAAGCTTGCATTAACAACTGCTATCCATGACCAGGCTGGTCATTCAAAACAATTTTCAGTTTTGCCTAATTAGTTGACCTTAAAGCTGCATGCCTGTAAAATCAAACTTAAGAAAAATGTGTTGAAATTATAACAACAGTATTTGAATTAATAATTTACATAGTATATACTATGACTATGATTGATTTTGCAGTATTTATAACCAATAATTTCTACTGCATAACTAATGTCCTAAGGGCTATTTTTGCATACTTTGAATTCTTTTTGGAATAAAAAATTCATGGACTGTAAATGCTGTTTGCAATGTGTAAATTACTTTCTTTGTTCACTTCACAATATTTTACTTATAAATTAATTTTCAAAATGTATGAATCTGGAGACATGCTGCCTAAATATCATGTTTAAATTTTTGACATTTTGTTTTTGGACAGATGATAAAAACGCAGCTTCATGCATCCAGACTTTGCTCCCTTGAGTATCAGGTTTGAGAAAAAAAATCTTTGTTCTTTTTACTGAATGCATCTTTGAATGAACATTGTACATTTAAATAATTTTGATCTTATTGTTCATTTAAATATTCAAATAGGTTTAATGTTGGTCTTATTAACAGAATATATTTTAAAAGTCTCTGTTATTTATGAACCAAAGTAAGTTTTATTGTGGCAAGCCATACTTGGCCGTTGGTAAGCACTAAATGAATTGATTCAATTTTATGAAGTTGGTATTAGATGATTACTGGTTATTGTTAAAAAGCAGAAAGTATATATGGGATACAAAGGTATGTGCAATGATATGTTGTTAATAAACAATTGGAAAAACATAATGTTTTCATTCTTATATGTCTGGAAAAAATGGGAGTATACTTTTATACATCTGGCAGTCTGTCCATTTAGATTTACCCTTGTCCATCTGTCCGTTCACTTTTGTGTCGCACGTAGCACAAAACTTTACATGAATGTTGATCAGCATGTGTAATTGTGCACCTGGGTATTTTAGTGTGGATTAATTTAGTATTTTTAGAGTTATTACCCTTGACTTAGTAAAAATTTTAAAACCGCCTCCGTGGTCGAGGGGTTAGAGTCGATGACTTCTAATCCAGTTACCTCTCTGGCGTGGGTTCGATCCCCGGGAGATGCTTTGGTAGTTTAGCGCGGAAGAAGGTAGTCTAGTACTGGTGTAACTCTCCAGGAACGATGGTTAGGAAACTACCCGCCTATATGACTGAAATACTGTTGAAAAAGGCGTAAAATGAAACAAACGAACAAAACAAACAGTAAAAATTTTCAACTTGTGTCGCTTGTAACGCAAAAAGTTTTTGACCTAGAGTAATGAAACTTTACAGGAATGTTGATCAGCATTTGTAGTTGTGCACCTGGATATTTTTATGTGAATTTATTTAGTATTTTTGAGTTATTGCCCTTGACTTAGTAAAGATTTGCAATTTTCAACTTGTTTCGCTCGTAACTCTTAAAGTATTTGAGCTAGAGTCATGAAACCTACAGGAATGTTGTGCACCTGGAGTTTCGCTTTTGGATTTATTATGTTTTGTTAAAGTTATTGCCCTTGACTTAGTAAAAATTTGCAATTTTCAACTTGTGGAGCATGTACCTCAAATAGTATATTTAACCTAGATTCATGAAACATTACAGGAATGTGTATCAGCATGTGTAGTTGTAAACCTGGATATTTTCATGTGGATATTTAGTATTTGCAGAGTTATTGTCCTTGACTTAGTAAAAATTTGAAATTTTCAACTTGTGTCACACATAGCTCAAAAAGTATTTGACAAAGGCTCATGAAACTTTACGGGAATGTTGATCAGCATGTGAAGTTATGCACCTGGGGTTTTGCTTGCGAATTTATAGATGTTTTGTCAGAATTATTATCCCCTGCCGATGGAATCGGAAGGGGGATATAGTTTTGGGCGTTGTCCGTCCGTCCATCCGAATTTCGTTTCCGGAGTAGTTCTCTGCAACTACTGGCTGGAATTCAACAAAACTTTATGGGAATCATCAATATCAAGAGGAGATGCGCATATTGTCGGCTTGTTCCGGTCAGACCTTTTAACTCAGAGTTATGGCCCTTGATTAGTTATGTAGTATGCATATAGTGTAAAAATCGTTTCCGCACTACTTCTCTGCAACTACTGCCTAGAATTCAGCAAAACTTTATGGGAACCTTCAATACCAAGAGGAGATGCGCATTTTGTTGGCTTGTTACGGTCAGACACTTAAACTCCGAGTTATGGCCCTTGATTAGTTATGCAGTATGCATATGGAGTAAAAATCGTTTCCGCGCTACTTCTCTGCAACTACTGGCTGGAATTCAACGAAACTTTGGGAACCTTCAATACCAAGAGGAGATGGGCATATCGTTGCCTTGTTCCGGTCAGACACTTTAACTCAGAGTTATGGCCCTTGATTAGTTATGCAGTATGCATATAGAGCAAATATCGTTACCGCGCTACTTCTCTGCAACTACTGGCTGGAATTCAATGAAACTTTATTAGAACCTTCAATACCAAGAAGAGATGCGCATATTGTCGCCTTGTTCGGGTCAGACATTTTAACTTAGAGTTATGACCCTTGATAACTTAGGCAGTATACAACCAGAGAAATAATCGTTTCTATGCTACTTCTCTGTAACGACTGGCTGGAATTCAATGAAAATTTATGGAATACTAAGAGGAGATGTGCATATAGTCGCCTTGTTCCGGTCAGATACTTTTAACTCAGATTTATGGCCCTTTATTAGTTATGTAGTATGCATACATCTCATTGGCATTTCCAGATATTACTATTTAACACAAAGTTATGGCTCTGTTATTGCCCTGAATATTTATCAAGTTCAAAGAATATAACTGTTTATGCCATGATAAATATAGAAATAAAGCCTTATGTCTTCAGTTGTTGTGTTAATAATAACCAGTACTCAGCGGGGGATATAAATTCAACGAATTTGCTTGTTGCCCTTGACTTAGTGAAAATTTTCAATTTTTGTTGCGCGTAGCTCAAAATGTATTTAACCTAGAGCCATGAAACTTAACAGGAATGTTGATTAGCATGTGGAGGTGTTCACCTTGGGGTTCGCTTGTGGATTTATCCAGTATTTGTAGAGTTATTGCCCTTTACTTAGTAAAAACAGTTTCATTATGTTGTGTTATTTGAGTGCTTGAGTTAGAATCAACCAGCTTTACAGGAATAATGATTAACATCACTGAAGCGTTATTGACCTGGACTTAATTACAGTAGTATAAAATTGCAATTTTCAACTTGTTCATGCATAGCTCAAAAAGTATTTGACGTTTTGCCCGGAAAGTTTACAAGAATGTTGGCCAGCATGTGTACTTATGCACCTTTGGGGTTCACTTGTGGATTTATTCAGTATTTGTAGAGTTCTTGCCCTTTACATAGTAAAATAGTTTTAGTTTTCAACTTGTGGCACATGTAGTCCAAAAAATACTTGACCTAGATTAAGATTGACAAAACAGTGGAGGGGTGGGGGGGGGCACCTGTGTCCTATGGACACATTTCTAGCTTTGCTAAAAAAACTTGTATTAAGGGATGTATTGTCTTCATATTTGTGTGCAAAGACATTAAAGAATATTTAATTGAACTTGACCTTAATTTGACCTTGACACATGAGTTTATATCAGTGAATTTTGCTGCAAATGGTGAAACTTACTGTTATTTTTATAAACCCCAAACAAAGTTTTGGGCCATATATAGACTCGCCAGGTGGTTGGTCGGTCCAGCGGTCTGTTGCATTTTCCTTGTCCGGGGCATAACTTGAAAACTGCTGGTTGGAATTCAAAACAACTTCATAAAATGGTCAAGCTCAATAAGAGGAAGTGCAATGCACAAGAACCATATATCTATCTTAAGTAATTACAGAGTTATTGCCCTTTGTTACTTTTCCATTGCTTTTTCTTGTCAAGAGCATAACTTGAAAACCACTAGTTGGAATTCAATACAACTTCATACAATGGTCCAGCACATTGAGA